CCCCGACACAGCAAATGCACTTGAGCTTTGTGCTTCACGGGATGCTGCGAGCGAAAGGGTTGTGGACTGCTGACGCCCTTGCGTGTCGGGATGGGGCAAAGGCCAAGGCATGTAGCATTGCTAGCGACATGAGGCTCAAGGCATGTATCAAGCATGACAAATCACGCAACACAGTCGAAAGCAGGGCAACCAAATATGCATGCATGCATCACAGCCCGACAGTGTTGCGTTTAAGCTTCTCAGGTAGATCTACGGATGAGGTTCCCATGAAACGGCAAAGTTGTGAATGTGTGGCTGCTGCACCATGGCAAGTCTGCTTCTTTTGTTGAGGCCGCATTCTCCCAGACCGCGGCGCGTAGTAGTCAAAGTAGAATCGCACGATGAAGTTGCTTCAGGCAAGTCTCAGAGACAGGCTTCCGTAAGCCTTTTTATCATACTCTGCCGCAGTATTCCGCAGTCGGTTACAGGCGATATCCTTTTATTCCAACATATGTTGTCACACGCTAGAAAGAAAACACTGAATCGCATACAGCTGGAAGCAGAAAATGGAGCTCCACTTTACGAATGGACTGCTGTGGGGGTGCTTCTCGGACGGGATCTCTAGGGCGGGCTCCCTGTTGGTTGGTGCCGTGAATTTGCGATGGCCCCTATGGCATTCCCTGAACATGTTGGATTTGTGGTCATCGCATTGCGCCGGCAAGGGGCACGAACGGCGAATTTGGGGGCTGGCGTCTCGCACTCAGCGGTGGAGAACAGATAGCTGAGCGTGCACAGAAACAGCAGACGTCGATAGAAACAGGGAGTGGCGTGACGACTGCGCTGACTCCGTGATTATGGACGGCCTATAAAAATGTGTATGTATATGCACATGTATATCTGTACAGGTGTGCATGGAGATGAGTTCGTCATCATAGGTTTTGCTGATATATTGGCGAGTCAAGCTTCACTCGGATTTTTCGGGCTCGCCTGTAACAGTTTCAACATACTACACCCCAGAGCTCTCAAGTTCAACATATTTTCTAAATTTGGGTCAACTAATCGTCAAGATGATGTTTCAGAGTTTTCGAGTACTGAAGAGACGTGGAGTATTTGAAAGTTGGAGCTGGCAAGAGCGTTTCACTACACCTGCAGATTGCAGCTAGGCTGCCGCTTATTCTGCTGAAGTGCCCGAACTCTTCCGATTTTCGAGCCGTAATTTAGATGAGTGTCGTGCAGCTACCGCATCGGAAGTGACAGGCATCTGGGCACGGCTGATTGCATGCATGCAGTCTTTCGCACGTCTTCGCGCTCTGAGAAAGCAGATGCACTTGAGCCTTGGGCTTCATGGGATGCTGCGAATCGTTGTGGACTGCTGATGTCGCTGTGTATCAGGATGTAGGCAACACACACGGCAAGTAGAAACGAGGGCTCAAGGTATGCATCAAGCATGATAAATCAAGCATAATAGCTAGAGCAGGGTATCCAACACGCATACATGTACAGGTGCGCATGTGGGAGTTTCCCAAAATAGGGGTACCGTAGTTTGGGGTCCTTATAATAGGGATCCTACTATTTAGGGTGCTAGAATAGGGTCCCCCATTTTCGGTGTGCAGAAATCGCAGAAAGGTAAAATTGCATGAGTGCAGCCGTATGCTAAAGTGTGTGGGTCAAGTGGCAGTCGACTGGCTGAAGTGAGTCTGGCATCCAGCTACATGTCGAGCATTTCGCATGTCACAGCCCGAGCGCAGTGTTGGAGGCTTCTGTGGCAGCTGCTTATTTCTTGCGGTGGTTTTTTTGAAAAGCTGCTGTTGTCGGCTTGCTGAGGTCATGGAGATCCCACAGAGCTCGGCATGGAGCTCAACCAGCGCAGCATCGTGTCACACTTGCCTGTCTAGCTTCTTGCAGAAGTGTACTGCCTTTTCGTGAGGGGCATCGGCGATGTCTGTTTGTGCGTCGTGGTCTTCTAGGAAGGACTTGTTCGCGTTCAACATGTGTGTGCAGGTCGGGAGGTTGATCGGCGTACGCGCCAAAAAGTTGAGGGCCATCCAAGTACATGCAAAGCCGAGCTCTGAGGTGTGGGAGGCGTGCGTATGACTGGGCTCAGCTATTGGGCTCCGTATTGGTGGCGTTGCTGAGGGTTCACGTCGTTGTCATGCAGCACGCCCCCAAAGAGGAGATGGCACAGGCAAATTGCAATCTGCGCTTTGCCGCTATCCCTCCTCTGTGAGCACAGCTGTGCTGTGACGGATGTGCTTACCTCAGGTGAAGATCACTGGCGCTCCTCGCGATGTCGACCTCTGCAAACAGGTCGGCTTGCATGCTGCTTCATGCAATCGCCACGATGATGTGCTTGTCACTTGACGGCTGACTGACCCCCTTTCTTTGATGCTGCCGTCATTGGGGTAGTTTGTCGTGGGCGGTTGGTCGTCGTTACCTCGCGCAGGTCGTCAGCGGCATCATTGATGGCTCGATCAGCCGGACCCCAAGGGGTTGCAGGCCACAGGGTCACTGGTAAGACAGGCTTCAGGTGGCCAGTGGCAGCACACAGCACTTGACGTGGCCCTATGCCTCTTACGGGATCATGGGGCTTGGCAAAAAGGGTAAGTCAGGTCACTTCAGTTCTGAGTGCTTAAGCCCCTCCAAAATAAGGCACTTTCTGGACTTGCCAAGTCCCCCTCCTCCCGTATTTCATGGTTATACTCAAACGCATAATTTGGAGGCTGAGGGAGGCCTCAGGGTGTCGACAGGCATCGCCTTGACCAGGGCTTAACGTGTACAGCTGAGCGCTTTGGGGTTAGAGTCTTGAGCATGGGGATGAGCTATTGGTGAACTTTGCAAGCCGTGAAAGCTGATTCTGTTTTTTGTGACTCTGTTAGCTGCAGCGGCTCGCACATGGCATGGCGACAGATGCACCGCATGCCTTGGGGCCGTCGGCTCTGTCAACGTTGCCAAGGTTCAGATGATGTGGCGCAGCTTGCGCAGTGCTCTGAACCGAGTCCCTGCATGACTTCGATCGACTTTCGTTTTGATGTCGCCAGATGAGCTGTCCGCCAGGTCATGCACTTGATTCCGCAGACCGCGAGCCCAAGCATTATCCTGAGCGGAATCTGCACATCAAAGCTTTAAGGTAAATTCCTTCACACTACGTGAGCCAAAACTCGAAAATCGGACAGGCTTCCCGAGACCTCGGCTGGGGTCTCATGCGCACATGCGAGTGCGAGATCTTGGGTCTTTGAGACGGATGATGCACGATGAAACGCCATGGCATGCTGAACCTACAGGTGCAGGTTCCCGTTCTTCCTGCGGGTGGCACCAGGTGTTCCCGCAGAAGCTGCTTCAGACGATGACGTCATGCAGAAACATGCCTGCAGGGATGCATCCACTTCGGCGCGCGAGGACCACAGTTGATATTGGGAGCTGTCTATTTCATGCATCTGCCATCCGGACTCTGTTCTCCCGAGGTGGCCAAACTGAGCAAGTGCCGAGCTTGGAATTGATCCCAAGCAATTGAGGCTACATTGCTTTGACGTACCTCGTGTCCTGAGAGGGAGATGCGCGGTTGTTCTTTGACTTGTCATATTATACCAGGAAACTGATCCGCTACCTACGGTAAGTTCCGACGGATTTACGAGCATCGGCATCGGACATGACATGGCTTCTGTCTCGGGCATACTTCCTTCGAGCGTGGTTCTCGTGGCTGCTTTGTATAGCCTGGTCATCCTAGCATGATTGGGCATGCGACATGTGCTGACGGTAAGCACGTGCTTGCTCGACCCTCACAACCAAGCCAACCAGCTTTGTTTGGATGATGACGCATGCCTACCGTGCAATGGCATGCCGCGGTCAAGGAAAGAACCGTCGCCGTGTGTTGCTGTCAAATATCACGAGGTTTGTATCAAAAGCTCGGTAGATGACGCAGTACGGATGCTTCGCATGCACGCTGATTTTCAGGTTCTTCTCACACGAGCCAGCGCTGTCAGGCTGCCGAGGATCAGGTGCGGAAGTCATGCTTCAATCCTTGGCCTTGGGACCTGTTTCGTTTTTGGTCTGAGGGTGGTTCGCATTGAGGCGGACACGGTGCACATTCCGTGAACAGTTCCTGGCACGATAGGTAGCAGAGCTAACGATCATTGTATGTGCACTTCTTTGTCGAACTCTTGGCTGGCGCATGAAACCACCCGACAGCCTCCAACGAACTCAATTCGCCGGGCAGTCCGAAGGCTCCATCGCGCAGCCGCAAATCCATCGCAATTCATTCGTCGTCGACGGCCGAAAATGCATCCCTCCAACTTCGCACCGAAGTTGCCTTGTTCTACTCGCAGCTAGCGCTGTTCCAACGTACATTGCGAGCAAGAGAAGCCAGACAGATGCAGTGCGCCTGGCGCAGGCCGGCAGGCGAAGGAAGGTCATCCTTTGAGGAGAGCAAGAAGAAGTATCAGGGCGGAGCGGGTCACTATAAAAAGCGCAGGGGATGATTTCTTCAAAGCAGCGCCATCCGAGTGACCCTCTGCGCTACAGTAGGCCCGCTAGGTCAGTGTGACATGTGCATACACATGTTCACTCTCAGACGTGCCAGTTGATCAGAAGTTCCTCGTTATACAGTAATGCGGTAGTTTTTTGGCGCTGCCAACTTGCTTTTGATTGGTGGCGGTTCTTTCTCACTACAGTCTTTTGCGTACACAGTTACTAGCATTACTATCGTAGCACTATCACTAAGCAGAAGGGTAGGGTGAGGAGATGGGCTGCATCCCCCGTGCTCCATCCAAGTCTATGGGAGGCCCGGTAGAAGGCTGCCGCTCGGCGGAGTCGCGGGCTTTCCTAATTCATTGGCGGAGCAGCGCCTGCATGCCGGAGGGTGAGAAAGGTGCAGAACATGCTTTGATACCAGGACGTCGGTTTGTTGGCTTGATGGTCTCAGGATGCCTCTCCGATTCAGACTTGAACCTGCAGCTTCTTGGTGCCCAAGTTTCAGCAAGCTGAGTCGAGCTCTTGAGTTTAAGGGCACAAGTCTCTAAGACAAGATGGCGTGCCCCAAGGCCAGGCAATGGATGCTTCGATGCGTTGTCAAGTGTTTTTTGCTTTTGCCCCTGCCCTTTTCTCTGCGATCTTGCCTGCTTCAGCGGCCGCGAGCAACCGTGAGATGCGGTTCGAGGGTCCGAAATGTTTGCGGAGTCTGTGCTGAGGCCGATATGAAGCGGCCCGTGCTGCTGGGCTCGCGCCTGGCCGGCCGGAAGGACTTAGGCCTGAGTCCCGCGGCAAAGCCCGTTGGTCGACTCGGCAGTTTTCCCAGGGTTGCGCATCGCTTTTCAGCCGGGCAGCTTGGCTCGTCTTGCACCTGAGCTTCCGATCCCTGTGACATGAGTTCCACTTTACGCAACGATCTCCTGGTCAGGAGCCCAAGGTCAAGAGCAAGGTCAGTTCCAATCCCAAGGCCCTGGCGATGCAAATTCCAGTAGGGAGAACAACGAGCATCGCCACATATCACCGCCGAGGTCATCAGGATGCAGTGCAAAACAAGTGTTGCATCATGCTAGAATCAGCATCTGCCATGTGGACATCGTCAAGAGTCGAGCGTGCCCCCATACCCAGCATAAATCACCTTGGACTTCTGACATGGATTACGATTATCCTAGCATCCACGGCCCGATACACTACAGTGATGCATGGAGCTCGTCGTACGGCTGATGTGAAGCCGTTCGAGTTGCTGCAACGCACCTTGTGTTTTTGCGAGTTATAGCTCTACAGCCTAAAAACGAAGTAACGGTTACGCTTTCCAACAGCTCTAGACACATGTCTTGAGTTACCCTGCTTGGCGAAGCGTCTCTTCTACAGTTGCAGCCGGATCCTAACGCCTGAAGTGCTTGTTGCAGGGTTTAGGATGGTTTGGGGTAACCTGTCCTTTGACGTCAGACCAAGTGTTTGGACGATGCCCGGCTGCTGCGGCCTTAGCACGGTGGGAGCGCAGTGCTGGCCCGGAAATGCCCGGAGATAGTTTGAGTCGGCCAGAACGGCATTCATCAATTTCCAGGCCAAGTAATTCGGGGAGTGCCGCTGCTTTGAGAAGAAATGAGAGCAAACACTCCACCAAGGCTCATGCTTATGGAAGCCAGGATAAACCGAGAGCCATGCCGGCATGCTTGAAAGCTTGATTGCTTCCTGCCCTGTGAGAAAGCCCCAGGAGTATTCAAGCTTGTATCCGATGTTCGCACCTGGCGGTTTTGATCGTGTGCCACTGCTGTGCTCCACAAGATCCACCAGTAGTGAGCAGTCGCAAACTGAACTCCTGGGAGGGTTGTTGCGGCTTCCGGCCGACCTTGTGCATGCAGGGATGGTGCAGACAATATGAACGCGATGACCTTCGGCTTGGGTTCCCAGATCCAGCACTGCATGTATCCTTCACGCGACCCAAAGTCTGAGCTGCAGCACTTGCGCTTGAGCCGGTGGTGCTGGCCCTAGAAAGCTACGTAGTTACGTAGTTAATTCTCTCAGCCGACTTCCGTGATGGATTCTGTCTTGATGGCGTCGCTGCTACCCTGCGAGATCACGGCAGCTTCGGAGCAATCTGTTGCGTGCCCGAGGCAGTTCTGCTGTCCCGAAGCCCCTCAAGTCGGGATCTCGCGTCGCCCGGGTCCTCGGACTGACGAAGCAGCGTCAAAGCAGATACAAAACGAGCGCATTGAGTTGCGCAGGGAAGACAGGAAGTTGTGTTGGACTCTGTAACAGGAAGGTGCTGCTGCGACTTGTGCACGCCGGTGCCCGAAGGATGTTTAACTTGACGGTGTTTTTGAGAAAAAAAAAGTCACTGAAGCGGAGCATAAGACTCTGATGGGCAGTGCTTTAGTGGAGAGGGTTCGGGAGAGCGTTTTTTGAGGTTTTCCTAGCCGAGCCCACGGCGCAGCAGTTCAGGAACCGTCATGCTAATTTACTTCGATCTTGAACTTACAACACACAATACGTATAGTCGTGTGGTCAAGGTCGGGTTTGGGTGTTCCGCACCTCGCTTCGCCGCCTTGGCAACCGCTGGACCAGGACTTGTGACACTTGTTTGCCGAAGTTGCTGGAAACTCCTCCTTTGGCTAGCTTCGTCGTGTCTTTGCAGACAGCGCAGGGCCGGCGCACTACAACGTCCGCAGATGGCCCCATGCCGTGCGTGGATCCTTTGGGAAGGAAGAAATCTTCGAGGCACCTCAGGCTTGTTAGAGGTGTGGCTGCTGTGTAGCGGGGCTTTCGTTGTCAGCATGTTCGCAGGAGTGCCACAACCATTCTGGCAAACATCATCGGCTGTGCGAGACGACGGTCCGCGCTGCTCATGCCAGCCTATCTTGCACACCTCATGCGCATACTGAGTCAGTTGGCACTGGGCTTGCACTCAGCACTCACCAAAATCCAGCTTCCGCAGGTGACGCTTCAGCCTGTCACTCTTCCTGACGGCAAGGTGGCGTGCCGCATTAGAAGCCCAGATGGTTTTATGGTCGGCAGCGCTTGTACGGCCACATGTGGCTGTGCGCCTGTGCGAAACCGTGATTTGGCTGCCAGGTGCTGCTGCCGTGGACAGGGTGACCGACGAGGACTGTAACTGCTGGAAGCCCTGAAGGCCTTGAGCTTTCCTAAACCTCCTGTGCCCTATGCCCCATACTACAGAAGATCTTGCATCCGTCGCTACTTGACTGCCTACCGAACTTCCCGAACGACTTGCCAAAAACACTTCCGGCTTGGGGCAGAGCATTTGAAAGTGGGAGCTGCTCGGCTGTAGCGAGAAGGCCACTTCAACCATAAACAGAGTTGTAGCTGGCAAGCGAGTTTCACCGCATCGGCGACTGCAGCTAGGCTGCAGCTCATTCAGCTGAAGTTCCCGGAATCTTCCGATGTTCGACATATAGCTTCTGTGAGTGTTGTGAAGCTTGCATAAGAAGGCACACCCATCTGGGCACGGCTGACATGACCACCGCATGTCTTGCCGCAGCAGTCTTTCGCACGCCAATCGCGCCCCGACACAGCAAATGCACTTGAGCTTTGTGCTTCACGGGATGCTGCGTGCGAAAGGGTTGTGGACTGCTGACGCCCTTGCGTGTCGGGATGGGGCAAAGGCCAAGGCATGTAGCATTGCTAGCGACATGAGGCTCAAGGCATGTATCAAGCATGACAAATCACGCAACACAGTCGAAAGCAGGGCAACCAAATATGCATGCATGCATCACAGCCCGACAGTGTTGCGTTTAAGCTTCTCAGGTAGATCTACGGATGAGGTTCCCATGAAACGGCAAAGTTGTGAATGTGTGGCTGCTGCACCATGGCAAGTCTGCTTCTTTTGTTGAGGCCGCATTCTCCCAGACCGCGGCGCGTAGTAGTCAAAGTAGAATCGCACGATGAAGTTGCTTCAGGCAAGTCTCAGAGACAGGCTTCCGTAAGCCTTTTTATCATACTCTGCCGCAGTATGCCGCAGTCGGTTACAGGCGATATCCTTTTATTCCAACATATGTTGTCACACGCTAGAAAGAAAACACTGAATCGCATACAGCTGGAAGCAGAAAATGGAGCTCCACTTTACGAATGGACTGCTGTGGGGGTGCTTCTCGGACGGGATCTCTAGGGCGGGCTCCCTGTTGGTTGGTGCCGTGAATTTGCGATGGCCCCTATGGCATTCCCTGAACATGTTGGATTTGTGGTCATCGCATTGCGCCGGCAAGGGGCACGAACGGCGAATTTGGGGGCTGGCGTCTCGCACTCAGCGGTGGAGAACAGATAGCTGAGCGTGCACAGAAACAGCAGACGTCGATAGAAACAGGGAGTGGCGTGACGACTGCGCTGACTCCGTGATTATGGACGGCCTATACAAATGTGTATGTATATGCACATGTATATCTGTACAGGTGTGCATGGAGATGAGTTCGTCATCATAGGTTTTGCTGATATATTGGCGAGTCAAGCTTCACTCGGATTTTTCGGGCTCGCCTGTAACAGTTTCAACATACTACACCCCAGAGCTCTCAAGTTCAACATATTTTCTAAATCTGGGTCAACTAATCGTCAAGATGATGTTTCAGAGTTTTCGAGTACTGAAGAGACGTGGAGTATTTGAAAGTTGGAGCTGGCAAGAGCGTTTCACTACACCTGCAGATTGCAGCTAGGCTGCCGCTTATTCTGCTGAAGTGCCCGAACTCTTCCGATTTTCGAGCCGTAATTTAGATGAGTGTCGTGCAGCTACCGCATCGGAAGTGACAGGCATCTGGGCACGGCTGATTGCATGCATGCAGTCTTTCGCACGTCTTCGCGCTCTGAGAAAGCAGATGCACTTGAGCCTTGGGCTTCATGGGATGCTGCGAATCGTTGTGGACTGCTGATGTCGCTGTGTATCAGGATGTAGGCAACACACACGGCAAGTAGAAACGAGGGCTCAAGGTATGCATCAAGCATGATAAATCAAGCATAGTAGCTAAAGCAGGGTATCCAACACGCATACATGTACAGGTGCGCATGTGGGAGTTTCCCAAAATAGGGGTACCGTAGTTTGGGGTCCTTATAATAGGGATCCTACTATTTAGGGTGCTAGAATAGGGTCCGCCATTTTCGGTGTGCAGAAATTGCAGAAAGGTAAAATTGCATGAGTGCAGCCGTATGCTAAAGTGTGTGGGTCAAGTGGCAGTCGACTGGCTGAAGTGAGTCTGGCATCCAGCTACATGTCGAGCATTTCGCATGTCACAGCCCGAGCGCAGTGTTGGAGGCTTCTGTGGCAGCTGCTTATTTCTTGCGCTGGTTTTTTTGAAAAGCTGCTGTTGTCGGCTTGCTGATCGTCATGGAGATCCCACAGAGCTCGGCATGGAGCTCAACCAGCGCAGCATCGTGTCACACTTGCCTGTCTAGCTTCTTGCAGAAGTGTACTGCCTTTTCGTGAGGGGCATCGGCGATGTCTGTTTGTGCGTCGTGGTCTTCTAGGAAGGACTTGTTCGCGTTCAACATGTGTGTGCAGGTCGGGAGGTTGATCGGCGTACGCGCCAAAAGGTTGAGGGCCATCCAAGTACATGCAAAGCCGAGCTCTGAGGTGTGGGAGGCGTGCGTATGACTGGGCTCAGCTATTGGGCTCCGTATTGGTGGCGTTGCTGAGGGTTCACGTCGTTGTCATGCAGCACGCCCCCAAAGAGGAGATGGCACAGGCAAATTGCAATCTGCGCTTTGCCGCTATCCCTCCTCTGTGAGCACAGCTGTGCTGTGACGGATGTGCTTACCTCAGGTGAAGATCACTGGCGCTCCTCGCGATGTCGACCTCTGCAAACAGGTCGGCTTGCATGCTGCTTCATGCAATCGCCACGATGATGTGCTTGTCACTTGACGGCTGACTGACCCCCTTTCTTTGATGCTGCCGTCATTGGGGTAGTTTGTCGTGGGCGGTTGGTCGTCGTTACCTCGCGCAGGTCGTCAGCGGCATCATTGATGGCTCGATCAGCCGGACCCCAAGGGGTTGCAGGCCACAGGGTCACTGGTAAGACAGGCTTCAGGTGGCCAGTGGCAGCACACAGCACTTGACGTGGCCCTATGCCTCTTACGGGATCATGGGGCTTGGCAAAAAGGGTAAGTCAGGTCACTTCAGTTCTGAATGCTTAAGCCCCTCCAAAATAAGGCACTTTCTGGACTTGCCAAGTCCCCCTCCTCCCGTATTTCATGGTTATACTCAAACGCATAATTTGGAGGCTGAGGGAGGCCTCAGGGTGTCGACAGGCATCGCCTTGACCAGGGCTTAACGTGTACAGCTGAGCGCTTTGGGGTTAGAGTCTTGAGCATGGGGATGAGCTATTGGTGAACTTTGCAAGCCGTGAAAGCTGATTCTGTTTTTTGTGACTCTGTTAGCTGCAGCGGCTCGCACATGGCATGGCGACAGATGCACCGCATGCCTTGGGGCCGTCGGCTCTGTCAACGTTGCCAAGGTTCAGATGATGTGGCGCAGCTTGCGCAGTGCTCTGAACCGAGTCCCTGCATGACTTCGATCGACTTTCGTTTTGATGTCGCCAGATGAGCTGTCCGCCAGGTCATGCACTTGATTCCGCAGACCGCGAGCCCAAGCATTATCCTGAGCGGAATCTGCACATCAAAGCTTTAAAGTAAATTCCTTCACACTACGTGAGCCAAAACTCGAAAATCGGACAGGCTTCCCGAGACCTCGGCTGGGGTCTCATGCGCACATGCGAGTGCGAGATCTTGGGTCTTTGAGACGGATGATGCACGATGAAACGCCATGGCATGCTGAACCTACAGGTGCAGGTTCCCGTTCTTCCTGCGGGTGGCACCAGGTGTTCCCGCAGAAGCTGCTTCAGACGATGACGTCATGCAGAAACATGCCTGCAGGGATGCATCCACTTCGGCGCGCGAGGACCACAGTTGATATTGGGAGCTGTCTATTTCATGCATCTGCCATCCGGACTCTGTTCTCCCGAGGTGGCCAAACTGAGCAAGTGCCGAGCTTGGAATTGATCCCAAGCAATTGAGGCTACATTGCTTTGACGTACCTCGTGTCCTGAGAGGGAGATGCGCGGTTGTTCTTTGACTTGTCATATTATACCAGGAAACTGATCCGCTACCTACGGTAAGTTCCGACGGATTTACGAGCATCGGCATCGGACATGACATGGCTTCTGTCTCGGGCATACTTCCTTCGAGCGTGGTTCTCGTGGCTGCTTTGTATAGCCTGGTCATCCTAGCATGATTGGGCATGCGACATGTGCTGACGGTAAGCACGTGCTTGCTCGACCCTCACAACCAAGCCAACCAGCTTTGTTTGGATGATGACGCATGCCTACCGTGCAATGGCATGCCGCGGTCAAGGAAAGAACCGTCGCCGTGTGTTGCTGTCAAATATCACGAGGTTTGTATCAAAAGCTCGGTAGATGACGCAGTACGGATGCTTCGCATGCACGCTGATTTTCAGGTTCTTCTCACACGAGCCAGCGCTGTCAGGCTGCCGAGGATCAGGTGCGGAAGTCATGCTTCAATCCTTGGCCTTGGGACCTGTTTCGTTTTTGGTCTGAGGGTGGTTCGCATTGAGGCGGACACGGTGCACATTCCGTGAACAGTTCCTGGCACGATAGGTAGCAGAGCTAACGATCATTGTATGTGCACTTCTTTGTCGAACTCTTGGCTGGCGCATGAAACCACCCGACAGCCTCCAACGAACTCAATTCGCCGGGCAGTCCGAAGGCTCCATCGCGCAGCCGCAAATCCATCGCAATTCATTCGTCGTCGACGGCCGAAAATGCATCCCTCCAACTTCGCACCGAAGTTGCCTTGTTCTACTCGCAGCTAGCGCTGTTCCAACGTACATTGCGAGCAAGAGAAGCCAGACAGATGCAGTGCGCCTGGCGCAGGCCGGCAGGCGAAGGAAGGTCATCCTTTGAGGAGAGCAAGAAGAAGTATCAGGGCGGAGCGGGTCACTATAAAAAGCGCAGGGGATGATTTCTTCAAAGCAGCGCCATCCGAGTGACCCTCTGCGCTACAGTAGGCCCGCTAGGTCAGTGTGACATGTGCATACACATGTTCACTCTCAGACGTGCCAGTTGATCAGAAGTTCCTCGTTATACAGTAATGCGGTAGTTTTTTGGCGCTGCCAACTTGCTTTTGATTGGTGGCGGTTCTTTCTCACTACAGTCTTTTGCGTACACAGTTACTAGCATTACTATCGTAGCACTATCACTAAGCAGAAGGGTAGGGTGAGGAGATGGGCTGCATCCCCCGTGCTCCATCCAAGTCTATGGGAGGCCCGGTAGAAGGCTGCCGCTCGGCGGAGTCGCGGGCTTTCCTAATTCATTGGCGGAGCAGCGCCTGCATGCCGGAGGGTGAGAAAGGTGCAGAACATGCTTTGATACCAGGACGTCGGTTTGTTGGCTTGATGGTCTCAGGATGCCTCTCCGATTCAGACTTGAACCTGCAGCTTCTTGGTGCCCAAGTTTCAGCAAGCTGAGTCGAGCTCTTGAGTTTAAGGGCACAAGTCTCTAAGACAAGATGGCGTGCCCCAAGGCCAGGCAATGGATGCTTCGATGCGTTGTCAAGTGTTTTTTGCTTTTGCCCCTGCCCTTTTCTCTGCGATCTTGCCTGCTTCAGCGGCCGCGAGCAACCGTGAGATGCGGTTCGAGGGTCCGAAATGTTTGCGGAGTCTGTGCTGAGGCCGATATGAAGCGGCCCGTGCTGCTGGGCTCGCGCCTGGCCGGCCGGAAGGACTTAGGCCTGAGTCCCGCGGCAAAGCCCGTTGGTCGACTCGGCAGTTTTCCCAGGGTTGCGCATCGCTTTTCAGCCGGGCAGCTTGGCTCGTCTTGCACCTGAGCTTCCGATCCCTGTGACATGAGTTCCACTTTACGCAACGATCTCCTGGTCAGGAGCCCAAGGTCAAGAGCAAGGTCAGTTCCAATCCCAAGGCCCTGGCGATGCAAATTCCAGTAGGGAGAACAACGAGCATCGCCACATATCACCGCCGAGGTCATCAGGATGCAGTGCAAAACAAGTGTTGCATCATGCTAGAATCAGCATCTGCCATGTGGACATCGTCAAGAGTCGAGCGTGCCCCCATACCCAGCATAAATCACCTTGGACTTCTGACATGGATTACGATTATCCTAGCATCCACGGCCCGATACACTACAGTGATGCATGGAGCTCGTCGTACGGCTGATGTGAAGCCGTTCGAGTTGCTGCAACGCACCTTGTGTTTTTGCGAGTTATAGCTCTACAGCCTAAAAACGAAGTAACGGTTACGCTTTCCAACAGCTCTAGACACATGTCTTGAGTTACCCTGCTTGGCGAAGCGTCTCTTCTACAGTTGCAGCCGGATCCTAACGCCTGAAGTGCTTGTTGCAGGGTTTAGGATGGTTTGGGGTAACCTGTCCTTTGACGTCAGACCAAGTGTTTGGACGATGCCCGGCTGCTGCGGCCTTAGCACGGTGGGAGCGCAGTGCTGGCCCGGAAATGCCCGGAGATAGTTTGAGTCGGCCAGAACGGCATTCATCAATTTCCAGGCCAAGTAATTCGGGGAGTGCCGCTGCTTTGAGAAGAAATGAGAGCAAACACTCCACCAAGGCTCATGCTTATGGAAGCCAGGATAAACCGAGAGCCATGCCGGCATGCTTGAAAGCTTGATTGCTTCCTGCCCTGTGAGAAAGCCCCAGGAGTATTCAAGCTTGTATCCGATGTTCGCACCTGGCGGTTTTGATCGTGTGCCACTGCTGTGCTCCACAAGATCCACCAGTAGTGAGCATCGCAAACTGAACTCCTGGGAGGGTTGTTGCGGCTTCCGGCCGACCTTGTGCATGCAGGGATGGTGCAGACAATATGAACGCGATGACCTTCGGCTTGGGTTCCCAGATCCAGCACTGCATGTATCCTTCACGCGACCCAAAGTCTGAGCTGCAGCACTTGCGCTTGAGCCGGTGGTGCTGGCCCTAGAAAGCTACGTAGTTACGTAGTTAATTCTCTCAGCCGACTTCCGTGATGGATTCTGTCTTGATGGCGTCGCTGCTACCCTGCGAGATCACGGCAGCTTCGGAGCAATCTGTTGCGTGCCCGAGGCAGTTCTGCTGTCCCGAAGCCCCTCAAGTCGGGATCTCGCGTCGCCCGGGTCCTCGGACTGACGAAGCAGCGTCAAAGCAGATACAAAACGAGCGCATTGAGTTGCGCAGGGAAGACAGGAAGTTGTGTTGGACTCTGTAACAGGAAGGTGCTGCTGCGACTTGTGCACGCCGGTGCCCGAAGGATGTTTAACTTGACGGTGTTTTTGAGAAAAAAAAAGTCACTGAAGCGGAGCATAAGACTCTGATGGGCAGTGCTTTAGTGGAGAGGGTTCGGGAGAGCGTTTTTTGAGGTTTTCCTAGCCGAGCCCACGGCGCAGCAGTTCAGGAACCGTCATGCTAATTTACTTCGATCTTGAACTTACAACACACAATACGTATAGTCGTGTGGTCAAGGTCGGGTTTGGGTGTTCCGCACCTCGCTTCGCCGCCTTGGCAACCGCTGGACCAGGACTTGTGACACTTGTTTGCCGAAGTTGCTGGAAACTCCTCCTTTGGCTAGCTTCGTCGTGTCTTTGCAGACAGCGCAGGGCCGGCGCACTACAACGTCCGCAGATGGCCCCATGCCGTGCGTGGATCCTTTGGGAAGGAAGAAATCTTCGAGGCACCTCAGGCTTGTTAGAGGTGTGGCTGCTGTGTAGCGGGGCTTTCGTTGTCAGCATGTTCGCAGGAGTGCCACAACCATTCTGGCAAACATCATCGGCTGTGCGAGACGACGGTCCGCGCTGCTCATGCCAGCCTATCTTGCACACCTCATGCGCATACTGAGTCAGTTGGCGCTGGGCTTGCACTCAGCACTCACCAAAATCCAGCTTCCGCAGGTGACGCTTCAGCCTGTCACTCTTCCTGACGGCAAGGTGGCGTGCCGCATTAGAAGCCCAGATGGTTTTATGGTCGGCAGCGCTTGTACGGCCACATGTGGCTGTGCGCCTGTGCGAAACCGTGATTTGGCTGCCAGGTGCTGCTGCCGTGGACAGGGTGACCGACGAGGACTGTAACTGCTGGAAGCCCTGAAGGCCTTGAGCTTTCCTAAACCTCCTGTGCCCTATGCCCCATACTACAGAAGATCTTGCATCCGTCGCTACTTGACTGCCTACCGAACTTCCCGAACGACTTGCCAAAAACACTTCCGGCTTGGGGCAGAGCATTTGAAAGTGGGAGCTGCTCGGCTGTAGCGAGAAGGCCACTTCAACCATAAACAGAGTTGTAGCTGGCAAGCGAGTTTCACCGCATCGGCGACTGCAGCTAGGCTGCAGCTCATTCAGCTGAAGTTCCCGGAATCTTCCGATGTTCGACATATAGCTTCTGTGAGTGTTGTGAAGCTTGCATAAGAAGGCACACCCATCTGGGCACGGCTGACATGACCACCGCATGTCTTGCCGCAGCAGTCTTTCGCACGCCAATCGCGCCCCGACACAGCAAATGCACTTGAGCTTTGTGCTTCACGGGATGCTGCGTGCGAAAGGGTTGTGGACTGCTGACGCCCTTGCGTGTCGGGATGGGGCAAAGGCCAAGGCATGTAGCATTGCTAGCGACATGAGGCTCAAGGCATGTATCAAGCATGACAAATCACGCAACACAGTCGAAAGCAGGGCAACCAAATATGCATGCATGCATCACAGCCCGACAGTGTTGCGTTTAAGCTTCTCAGGTAGATCTACGGATGAGGTTCCCATGAAACGGCAAAGTTGTGAATGTGTGGCTGCTGCACCATGGCAAGTCTGCTTCTTTTGTTGAGGCCGCATTCTCCCAGACCGCGGCGCGTAGTAGTCAAAGTAGAATCGCACGATGAAGTTGCTTCAGGCAAGTCTCAGAGACAGGCTTCCGTAAGCCTTTTTATCATACTCTGCCGCAGTATGCCGCAGTCGGTTACAGGCGATATCCTTTTATTCCAACATATGTTGTCACACGCTAGAAAGAAAACACTGAATCGCATACAGCTGGAAGCAGAAAATGGAGCTCCACTTTACGAATGGACTGCTGTGGGGGTGCTTCTCGGACGGGATCTCTAGGGCGGGCTCCCTGTTGGTTGGTGCCGTGAATTTGCGATGGCCCCTATGGCATTCCCTGAACATGTTGGATTTGTGGTCATCGCATTGCGCCGGCAAGGGGCACGAACGGCGAATTTGGGGGCTGGCGTCTCGCACTCAGCGGTGGAGAACAGATAGCTGAGCGTGCACAGAAACAGCAGACGTCGATAGAAACAGGGAGTGGCGTGACGACTGCGCTGACTCCGTGATTATGGACGGCCTATACAAATGTGTATGTATATGCACATGTATATCTGTACAGGTGTGCATGGAGATGAGTTCGTCATCATAGGTTTTGCTGATATATTGGCGAGTCAAGCTTCACTCGGATTTTTCGGGCTCGCCTGTAACAGTTTCAACATACTACACCCCAGAGCTCTCAAGTTCAACATATTTTCTAAATTTGGGTCAACTAATCGTCAAGATGATGTTTCAGAGTTTTCGGGTACTGAAGAGACGTGGAGTATTTGAAAGTTGGAGCTGGCAAGAGCGTTTCACTACACCTGCAGATTGCAGCTAGGCTGCCGCTTATTCTGCTGAAGTGCCCGAACTCTTCCGATTTTCGAGCCGTAATTTAGATGAGTGTCGTGCAGCTACCGCATCGGAAGTGACAGGCATCTGGGCACGGCTGATTGCATGCATGCAGTCTTTCGCACGTCTTCGCGCTCTGAGAAAGCAGATGCACTTGAGCCTTGGGCTTCATGGGATGCTGCGAATCGTTGTGGACTGCTGATGTCGCTGTGTATCAGGATGTAGGCAACACACACGGCAAGTAGAAACGAGGGCTCAAGGTATGCATCAAGCATGATAAATCAAGCATAGTAGCTAAAGCAGGGTATCCAACACGCATACATGTACAGGTGCGCATGTGGGAGTTTCCCAAAATAGGGGTACCGTAGTTTGGGGTCCTTATAATAGGGATCCTACTATTTAGGGTGCTAGAATAGGGTCCGCCATTTTCGGTGTGCAGAAATCGCAGAAAGGTAAAATTGCATGAGTGCAGCCGTATGCTAAAGTGTGTGGGTCAAGTGGCAGTCGACTGGCTGAAGTGAGTCTGGCATCCAGCTACATGTCGAGCATTTCGCATGTCACAGCCCGAGCGCAGTGTTGGAGGCTTCTGTGGCAGCTGCTTATTTCTTGCGGTGGTTTTTTTGAAAAGCTGCTGTTGTCGGCTTGCTGATCGTCATGGAGATCCCACAGAGCTCGGCATGGAGCTCAACCAGCGCAGCATCGTGTCACACTTGCCTGTCTAGCTTCTTGCAGAAGTGTACTGCCTTTTCGTGAGGGGCATCGGCGATGTCTGTTTGTGCGTCGTGGTCTTCTAGGAAGGACTTGTTCGCGTTCAACATGTGTGTGCAGGTCGGGAGGTTGATCGGCGTACGCGCCAAAAGGTTGAGGGCCATCCAAGTACATGCAAAGCCGAGCTCTGAGGTGCGGGAGGCGTGCGTATGACTGGGCTCAGCTATTGGGCTCCGTATTGGTGGCGTTGCTGAGGGTTCACGTCGTTGTCATGCAGCACGCCCCCAAAGAGGAGATGGCACAGGCAAATTGCAATCTGCGCTTTGCCGCTATCCCTCCTCTGTGAGCACAGCTGTGCTGTGACGGATGTGCTTACCTCAGGTGAAGATCACTGGCGCTCCTCGCGATGTCGACCTCTGCAAACAGGTCGGCTTGCATGCTGCTTCATGCAATCGCCACGATGATGTGCTTGTCACTTGACGGCTGACTGACCCCCTTTCTTTGATGCTGCCGTCATTGGGGTAGTTTGTCGTGGGCGGTTGGTCGTCGTTACCTCGCGCAGGTCGTCAGCGGCATCATTGATGGCTCGATCAGCCGGACCCCAAGGGGTTGCAGGCCACAGGGTCACTGGTAAGACAGGCTTCAGGTGGCCAGTGGCAGCACACAGCACTTGACGTGGCCCTATGCCTCTTACGGGATCATGGGGCTTGGCAAAAAGGGTAAGTCAGGTCACTTCAGTTCTGAATGCTTAAGCCCCTCCAAAATAAGGCACTTTCTGGACTTGCCAAGTCCCCCTCCTCCCGTATTTCATGGTTATACTCAAACGCATAATTTGGAGGCTGAGGGAGGCCTCAGGGTGTCGACAGGCATCGCCTTGACCAGGGCTTAACGTGTACAGCTGAGCGCTTTGGGGTTAGAGTCTTGAGCATGGGGATGAGCTATTGGTGAACTTTGCAAGCCGTGAAAGCTGATTCTGTTTTTTGTGACTCTGTTAGCTGCAGCGGCTCGCACATGGCATGGCGACAGATGCACCGCATGCCTTGGGGCCGTCGGCTCTGTCAACGTTGCCAAGGTTCAGATGATGTGGCGCAGCTTGCGCAGTGCTCTGAACCGAGTCCCTGCATGACTTCGATCGACTTTCGTTTTGATGTCGCCAGATGAGCTGTCCGCCAGGTCATGCACTTGATTCCGCAGACCGCGAGCCCAAGCATTATCCTGAGCGGAATCTGCACACGTGGGCCAAAACTCGAGAATCGTCGTAGAATTTCAGTGTTGCGACGAGTGCTGTTGCTCTTGCGCACTACGTTTATTGACATGACAGCTACTACTGCCAGTAGGCAAACCGGTGAACGAGAACCAACCAACACGGTGCGTACGTCCAACATCGGAAAAGCGAAGCCGAGGCAGCCATCGAAGTCGGTCGCTTGAAGGGGCTAAGCCTAAGCGCTTTGGGGTTGCAGAGTCAGAGTTCGGGAATTTGGATGCAGAGGTCTGCTTGAAGGATCCTGCATTTGGTCTGGTGAACTAGGGTCGCCTCTGTTTTGCAAAGGGAGGCTTCGGGTCGTGTGGTTTCACGGCTTTACGAGCTTTCTGGATTTCGGCATCTGCAGCCGCCTGCACAAACTGGGACCCTGTCCTAGGTCCTGGTAACCTAGTACCTGCGCATCGAGGTCGGCACCGCATTGCACAGCGAATGAGATCCTTGTGAGCTGGTGCCGAGAGCCGCAAAAAAAGCGACCTCTCACTAAGACTCACCGCATTTATATACGGGTTTAGGGTTGAGGGTTTATGGCCAGGTGCTAAGGTTGCCGGGAGCGTTGACTGGTGGGGAGGTTTGGGTCCAAGTTCATCACTGAGGCAGCAACGCAGCAGGGAATTTCGCAAGACTGCTTCGACAGATCCCAGCTCCACTCCACAAGGACAGGCTTCTCACAAGATGACTTGTAGAGAGAAGCAGAAGTGGCGCAGAACATGAAGAAGCCGCAAGATGAAGCCCGGAATCCTCTTGACGTTGGCTTTGCCACATCAAAGCATGAGATGGTGTGCAGTTCCGCCTTGTGTCTCGTTTGCCCATGTTTGTCCCAAGCCCTAAAGCTCTAGACGACAGAGCCGTGTTGGCTCGTGCCGTTTTGGTGTTTTGCGCCACGCCGGTGCCGTGCTGTGGCAGCAGAGAGCGCTGAAACTTCTGACGTTCAGAGACGCTGATAATGATGACAATAAAAATAGTAACAGTAATCTTTATAACAATAGTAATAATAGTAATATCGGTAATGGTTATTATTACTGCACTCACTGCACCTGACAGCCTGCACCTGACTGAATCGTCAGCGGTCGGTCCATCGTGAGGGTCAATTCACACGCGCAAGGAGAACAAGCCCAAGACTTCCAAGGCTTGCGTTAAGAATGCAACACGGTTGGAAACCAAGAAGTGAGGAACAGATCTGAACTCTGGAACCCCAAAACTTGTCCCCTTTGCAGACCTGCACCGAGGTCTACGCAAGTTCAAGACTTAAGACAGAATGCACGGCGGCGCCAGATTTGCTGCGGCAGCTGCGACCTCAGTATGTTGGATTCAGGCTTAATCTTTGGCTAAGGTTTAGAGGACGAACATCGTTTATTGGTTGCGCAAAGCTTTTTGAACAGGGGTTGGTGCATGCTACTGCTAGAGGCACTTCCAGGCCTTCAGACATTCTGACATTCTCTTTGGGAGTTGGTTGAAGACAGGACTGCAACATTTAAAGGCCATGTTGGATGGACGGAGTCCTTGTGCAGACAGCACAGCTTGCCACAAGAGTCCAGCGTTTGGTCTGCTGATGCTGTTGAAATGCCTTCGACCAGATGCTCAACCCTTAAATCCGTAAAGCGCTGCCGTGGAACGCAGGCCGTGGTGCATAGCCAGAGCTCCAAAATTCCTCCATAAGAACCTCGATGCAGAAAAAAATCTGATGAAGGCCGGAATCGGGGGGAAGAAGAAAAGGAGGCAAAGCAAGGTGCGACTCAAAGCCAAAGACAAGCCAACACGGTACGGTCGGACGACTTTGAAAGAGAATAGAAACTTCGACGCAGTTACCAGAGAGCACAGCACTGTCGACCCCGAGCATCCAAACGTAGGTTGCAGACAAAGATATCCTCAGCTTTCATTGCGGTCATTCCTGAATCACTGAAGCGAAGTCCAAGGTGATAGCCGCATGCCTGAGCTTCAAGTGGTACTCTGCGGCTGCGCCTCAGCTTCGAAGCGGTATCAGCTTGTGGGTGCCAATTTCATTGCAGGTTGATGTTTATGCGCAGGATGCATTCTGGCAATGCGTCTAGGAAACGGGCGGCGGCGTCAAGGGCCCTTGGGGATGTTGCGCCCAACGAAGCAGGTTGGTGAGCTGTTCTCTGCAAGCGAGGACAAAGCCGCCGTGCAAGATCCAACAGCAACAGACAACCACAGAAATCCAGGGCCCACACTTCCAGGTGAGACCCTATAGACGGGTGAGGCGTAGCAGCCTCTTGATGAGGGAGTTGCTCCATGAACTTGAAGCTGTCCGCGAGGAGCTCGGTAAAGGTCCGGCTTAGGCTGGCAGCTCGGGCGGCAGGTCGGGCCTCGGGCCCGTCCTGGAACAAGTCACACTCCCTCCCACATCGCCCCTTCCCGCGCAGCGATGGGAAGAACTTCAGACTCTGACCCGCTCCGCCGCGTCAAGTCTTTGTAAAGTGTAGGGAGCTCAAGAGGTATTCATCATAGTATATTATAGCTAATTATGTTTATTATATAACCTTTGTGCGATGTCCCTTGAAATGCCGAACTGACCGCCTCCTCCTGTGCTTCTCTGGAGCTTGAAGGTGTGCTTTCACCGTCGCCATCGGTCCATATCAGTTTTTAGCTCTTTCACTGCTGAGATGATGTCTTCGTTTTTGGATGCTTTATGCCCTTGTTCTCTTTCATGTCTCTGTTTCGGCTGCAGTGGTTGAAGTGGGGTTCGTCTTCCTCACATGTAGGGAGTGCCACGTGGAAAGCAGCGAAGTAGCAAGGCCTTATGCTTCGTTCTTAGAAGGCTCCGCAAGCGACAAGCGCTGTAGGGCCCTGCAGCCACTGTTGCCGTATCTAATTCCTTTGTGTCGGGCGGGTACTTGGAAAGAGCTGAAAAAGGCAAACAGTGCGAGCGGCAACTCGTCTTTTGCCTTGAGCCTTACAGATCCCTGCCCGGCAATGCTATCCTTCCATCCGACCAGGGCCGATCAAAAATAGTCTGCAGCATTGCTACAGCGTTCAGCGAGGGTCTTCAGGTCCAGTCATGAGAAGTTTCAACCGTCATGAACGCGTGACTTCAAAAAGACCAGAAAAGGTGTAAGCTTCACACCCCATTCCCGACGCCAATGGAAGGATCCAATCTGCCAATCCGACAAGACCGGGCTGCTGCAGCTACAGAAGTTGAAAAGATTTCGAGTAACTGGGCCGCACAAGCCCCAGGGCCAACAAGAGTGGCTTTCGTCTCGCGGAATTCGAGCCCAGGCATTGGTCAACACGCGCTACACAAGCACCATCACGAAGTATGCCTTCACGAACATCGAAGGCACGAGCTAGTGCTTCAAGCCACTAGGCTATGTGCTGGCGGGTGCAGGTGTCTTCGATGTCTCGGAACTCTTCGAGTTCGTGGCGCCTCTGCCCCAACCGGCTTCTCGACAGCATGCCACCTGCCACCGAGCCATCCAAAAGCCTGGTGCCGGATAGTTCCATAGCAAAATGACTCACTGACAGCATATCCATGGATTTTCAGCTGAAGACCAGATACCAAGCTCCGGAGAAGAAAAAGACAGAAGAAGAGAGCCGAAGACAAGCTGTAGCAGAGGAGTAGGAGCATGCGAGAGACAACGAAGCAAGCAGGCTGCGAGGTAAGCAGATCTCCTTGTGTTGCATCAGCAAACAGGGGTAGATCATGGCTTCGTTTCAGCTCAGATCCATGGAGGGTGGGCGGCAGTAGAGTGAGGTAGCTGGAGCTTTTCTTTCGGCGTCTGCAGGCACACCCTGGCCCCAAAGGCAACAGCTGAGAGGGTCGAAGAAAACAGAACACCCGACATCCCGAAGGTCTTTCCCATGAGATCTCAGCCGTTTCTGCCGTTAGCGACCGAGCCGCTCAGAGGCTCAGAGTTGGCGGCTTCCGAGGCCACCTCCCTGGCCTGGCTGCCCTGCCTGAGCTTCGTCGAGCGGCAAAGCATCGCGGAAGTCCTGGCAGAGGCCCGGCCCACCGGAGAGAGGAGGACCGGAGGAAGACCGGAGGAGGGGCAGGCGGCTGAGTGGAGAGCTCCAGAGCTCATGAAGGGCTCAACGGCCCAGGTTGGCAACTTCAGCGCCTACCTCGCCTCAGGCACGAAAACGCGGCCGCGTGTTGCGAAGCCCAAAGCCTTCCCTGCCCAACCGCGGCGCCGCGGCCCGCAGGCCTTTGGGATCGTTCGGGAAAATGGGCGATTCCCGAGGCGCCTTGGTCCTAGATTTTAAATATTTTAAGATCTGTTAAGGGCATCTGGCGAAAAGTAGCGACCATCGAGCCACCTCTATCAGTTTCTGGTCCTCAGGAGTATTGGGAGGACTGGACTTGCGACTGTCCCAATTGCGAGGATGAGGAGTTGCTGCTCGCCTTCAAAGATGCAGCAAATCTGTTCTTGTAGCAAGCCAGCACTCTCAGTGACATCGGCTAGCTTTCCACGCTGTCGATCCAGTGATTGAATGGATTTAGCAAACCGCAGCGCGAGCATCATCAGCATCAGCTGCATTTCCTTTCAAGCTGTCTGTCCGATTTCTAGGCGCAGTTCGACAGTGACTGGATGGATTTAGCAAACAGCAGCGCGAGCATCATCAGCATCAGCTAGATTTCCTTTCAAGCTCTGTGCCGCTTTTCCCGGCCGTTGAACCCACAGACAGCAGTGGCAGTTTGACCCAGTGATTGGATGGATTTAGCAAACCGCAGCGCGAGCATCATCAGCATCAGCTGGATTTCCTTTCAAGCTCTGTGTGCGCTTTTCCCGGCCGTTGAACCCACAGACAGTAGTGGCAGTTTGGCCCAGTGATTGAATGGATTTAGCAAACAGCAGCGCATCGGCTGGATTTCCTTTCAAGCTCTCTGTCCGCTTTTCCCGGCCGTTGAACCCAGAGACGGCAGTGGCAGTTTGACAGTGTTTGCATGGATTTAGCAAACCGCAGCGTGAGCATCATCAGCATCAGCTGGATTTCCTTTCAAGCTCTGTGTGCGCTTTTCCCGGCCGTTAAACCCACAGACAGCAGTGGCAGTTTGACTCAGTGAATGAATGGATTTAGCAAACCGCAGCGCGAGCATCATCAGCATCAGCTGGATTTCCTTTCAAGCTCTCTGTCCGCTTTTCCCGGCCGTTGAACCCACAGACAGCAATGGCGGTTTGACAGTGATTGAATGGATTCAGCAAACCGCAGCGCGAGTATCATCAGCATCAGCTGGATTTCCTTTCAAGCTCTCTGTCCGCTTTCCCGGCCGTTGAATTCACAGAGCAGTGGCAGTTTGACCCAGTGATTGAATGGATTTAGCAAACCGCAGCACGAGCATCATCAGCATCAGCTGGATTTCATTTCAAGCTCTGTGTGCGATTTTCCCGGCCGTTGAACCCACAGACAGCAGTGGCAGTTTGAGCCTGTGATTGGATGGAATTAGCAAACCGCAGCGCGAGCATCATCAGTATATATCAGCATCAGCTGGATTTCCTTTCAAGCTCTCTGTCCGCTTTTCCCGGCCGTTGAACCCACAGACAGCAGTGGCAGTTTGACCCAGTGATTGGGCGGATTTAGCAAACCGCAGCGCGAGCATCATCAGCATCAGCTGGATTTCCTTTCAAGCTCTCCGTCCGCTTTTCCCGACCGTTGAACCCATAGACGGCAGTGGCAGTTTGACCCAGTGATTGAATGGATTTAGCAAACCGCAGCGCGAGCATCATCAGCATCAGCTGGATTTCCTTTCAAGCTCTCTGTCCGCTTTTCCCGGCCGTTGAACCCACAGACGGCAGTGGCAGTTTGACAGTGATTGAATGGATTTAGCAAACCGCAGCGCGAGCATCATCAGCATCAGCTGGATTTCCTTTCAAGCTCTCTGTCCGCTATTCCCGGCCGTTGAACCCACAGACGGCAGTGGCTGGCAGTTTGACAGTGATTGAATGGATTTAGCAAACCGCAGCGCGAGCATCATCAGCATCAGCTGGATTTCCTTTCAAGCTCTCTGTCCGCTTTTCCCGGCCGTTGAACCCACAGACAGCAGTGGCAGTCTGCTCCAGTGATTGGATGGATTTGGCAAACCGCAGCGCGAGCATCATCAGCATCAGCTGGATTTCCTTTCAAGCTCTCTGTCCGCTTTTCCCGGCCGTTGAACCCACAGTGGCAGTTTGACCCAGTGATTGAATGGATCTAGCAAACCGCAGCGCGAGTATCATCAGCATCAGCTGGATTTCCTTTCAAGCTCTCCAGGTCGTTGAACCCGCAGACAGCAATGGCAGTTTGACCCAGTGATTGGATGGGTAAACCGCAGCGCGAGCATCATCAGCATCAGCTGGATTTCCTTTCAAGCTCTCTGTCCGCTATTCCCGGCCGTTGAACCCACAGACGGCAGTGGCAGTTTGACCAAGTGATTGGATGGATTTAGCAAACCGCAGCACGAGCATCATCATCATCAGCTGGATTTCCGTTCAAGCTCTCTGTCCGCTTTTCCCGGCCGTTGAACCCATAGACGGCAGTGGCAGTTTGACCCAGTGATTGAATGGATTTAGCAAACCGCAGCGCGAGCATCATCAGCATCAGCTGGATTTCCTTTCAAGCTCTCTGTCCGCTTTTCCCGGCCGTTGAACCCATAGACGGCAGTGGCAGCCGAACCTACGAAAAGCAGCAGCAGCAGCAGCAGCAGAAGCAGTTCGACGCTGTGATTTGATGGACTTAGCGATCCGCAGAAAGTTCTGTTTTACGTTTGCAGGCCGAGAGTCGGGGATGGCTCCACAGATTCACAACGACATGTCAGTGCTTAGCGGCTTAGCGCTTAAACCCTTTCAATCTCTCAGCTGAACTTCCCTGAATTCCTGAAGTTCTGCAGCGGCTCAGGCTTCCCCGTAGCCTGGCGGACGTCAACGAAACGCTGCCCAATTTCGATGGCGAGGTCTTCACTTGCCTCTTTGCAGATCTGGTCTACGTTTTGCCAATGGGGTGAGGGATAGAGGTTCAAGTCAATTCAAGTCTTTGAGCTTTCCTCCAGAAGCGATTCTGTTGTGGACATAAGGAGTTGTTGGCAGGATAGTGCGGGGGTGTAGAACTCAGAACGCCGAACCCAGCTTTGCCCCTCGAGCCTGTCTCTGAGGTGCCGACTGCATTCAAGGATGCCCAAGAACTATTGGAGACAGACGTCCATGCCCATCGCTTAGGGAACGGTCAGGGTTTGAAGGTCGGATGATAGGGGCACGCCGAAGTTGAAGTATATCCTTGGCCTTGAATTCAAGAGTTTCTTCTGGCATGCAGGCAGACTCGCATGATAGTAGTCTAGGACAAAGACCCAGCGGTCCACCTGAAAGCTTCGAAAAAGCGCCGGAAACGCCGAGAAGCTAGAAACCCTAAACCAAAACCCCTGCAACCCCCAAATTTCAATGAACCCTCGCCAGGGTGGGTCGACCCCTCAGGTAATCCGGCGGCCTTGGATCTTTCACCGGACTGCGCCGTTTTCTTCGTGGAGCAAAACTGGAGCTTGGTGCCCTGTCGGGCTCCGAAGAGCGGGCTCCGAGTAAGAGCTCACGTCGTAGGGTTTCTGAGACGGTTTAGTCGGACTAAAGGAACCATCTCTGGGTGGCTTCGGAGTTCCGACCGTTAGGACCGTTAGGAACTTTGCCTCCTGACGTTGGAGGCTTGCAAGAGCTTCCTCAGCTCTCAGACTCCTTGCAGCTTTGCATGGCTTCCCGTTCCAAGACAGTCGTGAACGGTCACTTGCTTGTTGTCAAAGACCAGCTGTCTCATCAAAAGCAACAGCACCAGCAGCAGCAACAGCATCACTGTCACTTGCACATCAACACCCAAGACTTCCTCGAAAAACTCTAGACTCCTCGAAGACCACGCAGTGACGTCAAGGGCGAACTCTTTGACTGCAACGACGAGGAGAACCCCGGCCACAAAATCCGAAACGCTCCCTGGCCAAAACGAGGTGGATTTGTGCGCAAGTGCATACGTATTCTAACCGATTTGGCCTATTTGTGTCGCTCACCGGAGACACACATGGGTAGTTGTCAAAATTGCCGTATTGGATCAGGGACCCCGCAAACGCAAAGGGACCCTGGTTTTGACAAGCACCCACAGGGTGTTTTGTTGGGTTTTCGGCTCGACCCTCAGCCTTTCCCATGCGTCGCTGAGACCTACTTGAACGACAGCTTCTGCGACTGTCCCAACTGCAACTGGGCTCAGGGGCTCAGGCTTAGCTTTATCCCGGAAGAGTGCGGGCCCAGCTTTCGCAGACAGGGAACACCCCCGATTCCTAATGCCAAAGTCCGAGGCGCCGATGAGTTTCCTGGAAAGACCTGCGAGAGCTGCGGCGGGTGCCCGACCGGCCAGTGTGGCTATGCATATCCATGTAACCTTCCTGAATTGCTCTGTTTAGGTAAGGCCTGTAGGTCTACCTAGAGAATGGAGGTTAGAGGGCTCTGCAGGGCCGGGCAGGAGCCGATTTTGGCGATGCCCTTGTAAAGCCTGCCCCACTCAGAGCAACTCCAGAACTGCAAAGACCAAGTCAGCAAAGGCGGCATGGAGAATTTGACCTTCGTCCCAAGTCCTCAGTGTGAGCTCGCTGCTGCTGCATGGGTCGAATCGTCCTTCGAGTCCATCGGATGGTGGTCGGGCATGCGGTCGTGCGACGGCAGCAACGACAGCTGGACTATTCGATGGGTATCTCGACGGGAAGTGTTGGGCGGTTGTGGTTCATGTTGTTCACGGTTGTTCGGAGCGGAGGCTTCGGTTTGGAGGTCTGCATCCACACGTTTGAGCCAGGGATTGGCTTGCAGTTTCAGCACTGGAGATTCCCGATGCTACCAAGGTGTATGAGGATGATGGGCGGTATTGCGACTGCCCCAATTGCGAGGATGAGGAGTTCACCTGCGAGGACCAGCAGCTTTTCACGTTTTTCGCGGCTCGGGACCTTTGAGGTTCTTCGTCGTGGATGTAGCAGTGCAACGGATTTCACGTCCTGTCTGCTTGGTCTTGAGGAGTGTGGATCATGCCCGACCGTTTGCGGCAACGCTGTCAAATGTGTCTCGAGCAGCATCTGCTGGGAGCCGGTAAACTTAATTAAGTGAGGCCGATCCAGTACATGGGTGGTCCCTCAGAAAACGTTGATGTGTCAACTGCTAGCCAACCGCTGGTGCAAATGAGTAGCCGCATGCAGCGCAGCATCTTTTCGTGGCATCTGACGACTCTCCAGGCTGTTCATCCCGTGAATTTCATGAGATGCTTTTGTTGCTCTATTGTTTGATGTGAACAAGACTAGGATTCTTAGTGGAGGTCCCTGCTGCTACTACAGCTACTAGCAATGCCGCACCACCACCACATATAAAGTCTAGTGCTACGACTACGACCATTACTTCTAGCCAGACCCCAAATCGCACCATCCAAGAGGACCCGGAGAGCAAAGCAGTGGCATGAGGGATTGGCGCCGGGAAAGACCACAGATGCTACGGTAGACGTTCAGGCTGTCACGCCTGTTGGACGTTTGCGTGTGGGCACACTTTGCGTGAGCACACGGCAGTTAGTGTTTCTGCACACCACCACCACCACCACTACTACTACTACTACTACTACTACTACTACTACTACTACTACTACTACTACTACTACCACTATACTACTACTACTACTACTACTACTACTACTACTACTACTACTACTACTACTACTACTACTACTACTACTACTGCTGCGGCTACCATCGCGCGACGACTACAACTACTGCTCACACATTTGTTGTTGTGTGTCCGCTGTGCGTTTTTGACGAAGGTACCTTTCCGCTGGCTGCTTGGCAAAATTAGGTTCCGAACCAAACCCTTCCCCTCCGGATCCCAAGCCGATTTGACGTTGGCATCTTTTGTGTGGGTCGTGTCGCTGCACGAAAGCATTGCAACGGCAGCGACCAAGTCCATGTCGGCCCGCCCCCGACCCGGCGGTATCACGGCAGGTTTGGATCCCCAAACTCAGTCGGACGAGAGGCTAAGAGCGTGCCAAAGCCGCCAAGGCTTCTGATCGTTGGAATGCTTTGTAAGTTGAATGCGTTGCGGTTTTGCGAAGAAGACAAAAAACATCACAGCCGCATTGCCACCCAAATTGGGCACGTTCTACACAGACAACCGTTCCCACCCTGCCTGTTTCATGCTAAACCTTGACAGAGCTTCACGATGAAGAGCCTTCTTTCTTTGTTGGCGTACCACAACGCACGTGTGAGTCGTAGCATAATGACTTGGGGTGTCCTCCAGGAGCTTCAAGCCCCCCGAGTCAACCTTACCGCACCTGGGACCGGGAGCAGAGCTTACGAATTTAGGGAGCTTACGCATTTAGGGGTTGTTTGAGTTTGCTGCAAAGCTGAGTTCCTGGAGCAAACCCTCCCCGAGTGCCTCCGGTCGGTGAAGCTCGACATCAAATACCCAGATTTGGCAGTTCGGTGTGGCTTGGCAGCATGGCTCACAACCCGCATTTGTTTCAGGCTAAGTGTGACTCTTTCGCCAAAACAAAGTCCATCCTGAATGCCGGCAGCGTCGGCAGCTTCACCTTTGAGCTCCCCGAAACCGGGCCAAAGCTGCGACCCGAAAAACTGTGGAACCCTACAAGACCGAAACGTCGCTCCGAGGTGGTGACCTGGCAGGGGAAGCAAACGCGTTGCAGACATGGACGATTCACAAGGAGTTTTTCAGGGACACTCCATACTGTTGCGATTCTGGCCTATGCTGGGCTGTGGTCAAGAAGCCGGGAATGAATTCTCGTACGCATCACATTTCATATCGAAGCCGCTGCCTGCTCCTTGAGAGTCTTGTGGGCACTGTGTAATCTCGTGGCCACAGGACTGGATCGACGATGGATATTGCGACTGCCCGCAGTGCGAGGATGAGGCATCCATGTAGGACATCCTATGGCGTCCTATGGTCGCTTTCTGCAGACGCTGCAGACTCTTGATTGTTGCTGGTAGCCTCCTGGTAGCTACGTGCATGGGTCCTGGCACATGCCAGCATGGGTTCAGGGTTGACAAACAGGATGTGCAACGGCGGTAAAAGGGGGTTTCTGGGATCTTCACGTATCGTCCGCACAACTGTGTATCGATGCACAGCCTGCGCGACCACGACCGCGCCGTACGATTTTCGCTAGCCTGCACATGCCTGCCCAGATACTTCCGATGTCTGAACACTGTTCTAGCTGTGCGTGGCCGGCGAGTGGTCCTCTTCTGGATGCGCTATCGAGCATGGCACCTCTGATTCCGAGCGGCTCGCATCTCTCCTACACTTCCGCCAATCTGCATCTCCGAAAGCTACCCAGATCTTCAATTTATCCGTTGAGACTTCTTGCGCTCGGCTCGACTTGCTTCAGGCGGAATGGGATTGCAACAACTGCACATGCCCCACGCAATGTGGTCAAGGCAACAGCTGTCGCTTGGGTGCAAGCACCAAGCCAGTATACCTGGTCATGTCTTCCAAAGAGCGGATGCCGTCCCCTTGCCCCGTGCGACAGTTTCCGGCGGAGTGTGAATTGATGTTGCGGACACGTCTTGAATCAAACTCAGGTGGTGGGGAGCCAAATCTCAAAGTCTGCAAGCTGCTTGGGAATGAATGAGTTCATTCTGCGAGTTGTGACATGGACTTTTGGGTTCGGCTGGCGGAGTAATGCTGCGAACCAGTTTTTGCCTCAGTGTTGAGACCAATTTGGGCTGCAGGTGCTATCCTCGCACCAGAAGGAACAGCTAGGACGAATACATTGGAGCATATTGCATTATGTTTGTATGCACATAATATATAGATGTACATATGCACATATACACATATACATGTATAGATATATACATACATATGTCACGTGAACGCGAGAATCGGAAGCCAGCTGCCCGGCCGCCCAGGCAATACAGGGCTGGCTACGCGGCGAATCCGGATGGCTACCGTACTTGCGACAATGGCTGGATCTACAGGGCACCCCGACCTGTACCCTATTGTTGCAGTTCCCAGTGGCGCAGAACGTGTAGCTGTAGCTGGGTCGCCAATAGGGGATGTGTGGCTGTGCTGTGCAGCGCGTCTGGGAGCTGCAGTTTTCGACGCTCGGGCCCGAATGCAAAATGAGAAGAGACTAGTAGGCTAAGCAGCTAAGCATGGCTAAGGCGCGCTAATGCCGGCTAGGCCGGAAAGCTTTGAGCTCTGAGCTCTCCCCGGTCTTTGTTCGGAGGCTTGGGAGTACGACGACAATTGGTGCGAATGCCCTGGCTGCGAAGATGAGCCTCGCTTCTCACCCGACACCTGCAAGTCCCCAGAACCAGCTTTTTGCGGGGATTGGGCACTTTGCCGCCTAGCTGCATATGGCGACACGGGGGCACTTGCCGATGACATGAGCACGAAGCATTCCGAAGTATGCTGTAGGCACCCGGGAGTTCATCGATGAGCGCAACTGCTTCCAATACGACCAACCGGGAAGGCCGATGTTCTCCTGCTTTAGCAATGGCTGGCAGCTACCCCTCGCCACCCGGTCACGCAGCTAAGTCACATTTGGTTCCTTTGGGCCTTTGGCCTGCCTGGACGTGAAATGACTACCCGAATCCTCAGGGCCCACTCCCCCTGGACCTGAGGGAAGCCCCTAACCTCGACTGGACAACAAAGAGTCACACGGTCGACACTAAGACCTTTGCCGACGATGGCTATTGCGATTGCCCTTACTGCGAGGACGAAGCTTGGGATTTCAAGGATTTGCGTGGACTCCAGGAGCTTCAAAGGTTCTAAGCCGAAACTCTGAACGTCGCGGTTGCATTGCTTGCAATTCCGGCAGCTCCACACCAAAAAAATCCAAAGGATAAGACCGAAGAAGACGGGGCACAGTATGGGCTTGCACGCAGAAGCACCAGGCACATGCTAAAGGAGCTCTACAGTAGCTCGCGTTTCGAAAGAATTTCACGACGAGTTCGACTAATACTCAGGAATCGGACCAGACTTGCTTATCCTGCGGCTATTGCCCAACGAATGTCTGCGGAGACTACGGCCACTGCAACATGGCCATTGCGAGTTAGGGCGTTGTCATATGGGGCCCATGGCACACCCCACGTCGTCTCGTCTCGCCTCGCCGAGGCTCGCTGGGTCAGTCGGGGAAATACGGCTGGTACGTGCCGCTGTGGGCCAAGAGCGAGTACGTGAACGTCCTGGAAAACCTTGCTAGGGGTGACACGCGAATTCCGGTGGAAGATGTGAGTGGTTTCCGTGTCGGAGACACTGTCATGATATCCGATTCGCTCGACAGCGAGGAACACACTGTGACAGATATCGAACTTTCTGCGAACAGCACTACCGCAGACAACACCACCGGCAGTATTTCCTCGCTTGAACTGACTCACTCCGTGGCCGAAGGGGCAGTTTCACCTGGTGCAATCTTCATCGACTCGCCTCTGTTGTTCCCGTACATCCTGCGAGCCTCTATACGAGTCCAAAGAACTGGATCCATCAACACCACAACTGGCAGCAATGACACTGCTCCCAGCAACACCACAGCTGACAGCAACGACACGGTTGGCAGCAATGACACAAATCCCAGCAATACCACGGCTGACAGCAACGACACTACATCCACCAACGCCACAGCTGACAGCAACGACACGGTTGGCAGCAATGACACAAATCCCAGCAATACCACGGCTGACAGCAACGACACCACATCCACCAATGCCACAGCTGACAGCAACGACACGGTTGGCAGCAATGACACAAATCCCAGCAATACCACGGCTGACAGCAACGACACCACATCCACCAACGCCACAGCTGACAGCAACGACACGGTTGGCAGCAATGACACAAATCCCAGCAATACCACGGCTGACAGCAACGACACTACATCCACCAACGCCACAGCTGACAGCAACGACACGGTTGGCAGCAATGACACAAATCCCAGCAATACCACGGCTGACAGCAACGACACCACATCCACCAATGCCACAGCTGACAGCAACGACACGGTTGGCAGCAATGACACAAATCCCAGCAATACCACGGCTGACAGCAACGACACTACATCCACCAACGCCACAGCTGACAGCAACGACACGGTTGGCAGCAATGACACAAATCCCAGCAATACCACGGCTGACAGCAACGACACCACATCCACCAATGCCACAGCTGACAGCAACGACACGGTTGGCAGCAATGACACAAATCCCAGCAATACCACGGCTGACAGCAACGACACCACATCCACCAATGCCACAGCTGACAGCAACGACACGGTTGGCAGCAATGACACAACTCCCAGCAACGCCACAGCTGACAGCAACGACACTACATCCACCACCTCCACAACAACTCCCAGCAATGTCACAGCTGACAGCAACGACACTACATCCACCAACTCCACAGCTGACAGCAACGACAGTACTTCCACCAACATCACCGCCGACAGCAATGACACTGCTTCCACCAACACATCTGGCAGTTCCAACAGCACCATCGGCACGACTCAGTCTTCAGGCCTGTCGGACAATGTCCCTGCGGGATCCACCGTGATTCCTGTGGAAGACATCAGCCCCTTTGAGATCGGGGACGTGATCCTCATTGCAGACATCAGTGCAAGTGAGAGTAAAGTAGTGGTCAGCATCTCTTCCGGAACAAGCCTGTTCCTCGAAGAGGAGTCGGAGTCTGGCATCCAAGCCGTCCCGGGCACACTCACAGTGGATTCGCCGCTGGCAAACGGGTTCCTGGGCAGTGGCAGCGTCACCGTCGTGTCCAGAAGCAGCACAACCTTTCCGCCGGCGAGCGCCTATCCCACAGGCGCCTAGAGACTTCCGACGATTAGGAGCAGCTAAGCCAGCTAAGCAGTATCCTCGCAACGTGATGCCAAACTCAGCTCCGAAGCCCCTGATCACCGCGTGCCCCAGTGCCCCAGTCCATTGCCAGTGCAGTGCCCTGCAGAGGCTCCCGGCGAGGCGAGGCATGGCGAGGCGATTTGGGCTTTTCAGTTTCAGCTCAGCCCGCCTGGGCCCTGGCCCAGCGCCTGGGCCCTCGGTGCTCTCGGTGCTGTGTTGCGCACTTCTGGGCAATGCAGCAACGTAGTTTGGTTAGATGGGTTGGTGGGGGCTTTCCTTGGAGGAGCTTGGGGCAAGCGCCGGCATAGACACCGTCGCTTCAGAAGATGGAGGCATGGACAAGGAAAGAGGCGGTCAGCTTTGATTCGGCGTTTCCTTCGGTGCGGAACTGCAGGGGTGTGAGTCCAGACGTTCTACAGCAGAGTACGGGCTGTAGCGCAGATGCATTGCAGGTTTCCATGCGCGGGGTGCAGTAGAGTCTGGACGGTGGGTGGTGCATGCTCGGAATACGCTGAGACTGCTTCTCAACAGAAGCTACCAGAATCACCCGCGAAAGCCCCCCTTCATGTCGCACCGCCAGGTGGTCACGACATCGACGACATGAATCCTCTAAATACTCCATGGTGGAAGCTGTGAAGACAAACAGGCCCAATGGGCCTCGCTTCACTGAGCTCAGTGCCATGCAGTGCTCAGACTTAGCGACTTAGCACAGTGGCGCCACATGATCTTCTACTTGCATTTCCCGTTTTCCCAGACTGGAAAGTGAGCGGTTTTGCAGTTGCGAGATGCTGCGAGGCTCCAGCGCAGCGCTCACAGCGAGGGCTTGAGCTGGGCCAGCTGGGAGCTGAAGCAGCAGCTCTTGGCCAAGGCCCGCTTGGAAGCCGGCGTCGGTCACTCGGTGCTGCGGGGCCTTCACGCCGTGGACGACGCTGGGAGAGACTCCAGGCCATTGAAAGGGGGGCAGGGGGGGGGGTTGGAAAGCCCCTGCGCGGCTCCGCTGCGATGCTGCGAGGCTTCTCCAGCGGAAAGGGCGAGCTGAGGGCAGGAACGGCGCTCCGCCGCCTCCACCGCCTCCGCCTCCCAGCAGCCTGAGCCGGCCATCCCGGCGCTGGGAGAGGGAGCGGTTGGAGGCGCAAAGCCGTAGCGCCAAAACCGATCAGCAGCCAAGGCCCCAGGTGGCCCGGGCTTGCAGAGTTTGGCATGCGGCCTCAGAAACGACACAGCTTCCATGACAGCAGATTCGGCATCTTGTAACGTCTCGTCTCTGAGACCTTCCATGACAGCATCTGACTGTGTCCCGTTGTCAGCCTCGCACGACTCGCATGACGAACCGGAGTCGCGAGGCTTGGCCTTCCTTTGGGCCGCGGCCCACTGGACCCAATTCTTAGGGGGGCCCTGCCCTGCTCCGTCAACGTAGTGAACAGCACAGCGCGACGATGGGACTCGGTGCGAGCGCTCGTGTCACTTTCTCTCGTCGGAGCCCGCCATCGCGACTTCTCATAAGGCCTTTCCGACGGAGGACCCGCCAGGAGTGCAGAGCTTCACAAAGCTTTTAAAGCATCCGCAGCGTGAAAAATCACACCATACCACATGCCTGGACAGAACACGAGACAGAGGTGACCCGCTTATAGAACAGGGCAGAGCAGAGAAACGACCGGCGGCGGCTCCCAGGTCCGCTGCTTGGGCCGGCGTCTCCGCCGGAGCCAAACCGCCGGCAGAAGGAGCGAGGACGGCGACGGCGACCCGGCAAGAGACTCGTCTTTTTCAAGGAGACGAGTGAGAGAGAGAGAGAGACCTAGGAGGGGCATGTACTTAAAGGGGAAGAGTGCTGCCGTGCCATACTTTTCACAGCCACAGTGAGCCGCACGGGGAGCCTCAGATGTGCAGTGGTGTTCTTACGGATAGCTAAGTCCTGTTTGCGAGGAAGGCTCCTAGTGCACACACGAGGGGATGTTTCTGGTTACCGAGCTGTAAACCTCTGGATAAATGCCATAGGGGCGCGGGGAAGAGGCGGGTTGGGGTTGTTTTAGTGTACGGGGTCGGGGGTTGCAGCTCGAGAATCTGGAACATACTCGGTAGTAAGTGCAACGGTCAGTGGCGCCCCAAAGCCGTCCACTCAAACCCACAGGGGGCGGACGGGCGGGCTGAAAGCCTGAGGGTCACGACGTGACCCCTAAGCCCGGCAGAAAGAAAGAGAGAGAGAGAGAGAGAGACCGTAGCCATTTTGGCTCAAGGCTCAAGGTGCCTTCATCGACGACTCCTTCATCGAGCTCTTCGAGCAACTCAAGCGGGTGCGGTGGGGGGAAAGACTCTGACTGTGCCCCAGAGTCTGGACCCTCCCGTGCTTGCGAACGTAACGCTAGTTTCCGGAGGGGCTAGCCGCCATAAAGAAGACGGGTGAGTTTGTATACTTTACAGCCAAGAGGGGGACCGAGTGACCGCAAGATCTTCAGCGTGCACGTGCCTGCGGGGGAAGTGAAAGAGTCTTTCCTGAGCATCGCCCCAAAACCGCCCCTGACGCCGTTGCCTGAGAACCTCTGCACTGGCCGGGGGACACCTTCATCTGCACGATCGTGACTGTGGCCAGACGGGGGAGGTCGCCAAGTGTGCCTACATCGTGCTCTACGACATGAAGCCGGTGGGGGAAAACTATGTGTGCAGGATTTGCAGAGTGGGAAAAGGGAAGTGTTTGCCCGGAATGAGGAAAAGCCATGTACGACAGGACGTAAGGTGCCGTCTGCATGGACTGACGGGGGTGCACCCTCCTCCTCCACCATCGGGGGAACGGGTGGCCAGAACGACCGAGAACCTCGTGAAGATACAGTGTGATGGTATCCCAAAGGGGGACATACGCTCTTGGCACGAGCTTATTGAAAAACACATCCCGGTTGAGACCACTTGGCTGCAGCGACCCTTGCTGCGACTGCACTCTGACAACGGGGGAGAGTCCCACTACTTCGACTGCGCCCTGCTCCGGGAATATACGGACGCCGAGGAGAACCAGGTGACCCGGGAACTGCAGGAAGCACGAGACATGGAACGGCTCCGAATGCGTGCAAAAACACTCTTGGCTCAGTATCTGGAGCGGGGGAAAAACCCCAGAAAACTCATCATGAACCTCGCGTACGACCCGTACAGTGCCGACGTGCTATGGAAAGAAGCCAACGAGCGCTGGGGGAATGTGATGCTGGACAGCCTGACGGCAACAACCCAAGTTCAGGAGGTGCTTGCTCTATGGGACGAAGCGGGGGATGTGGAGGCAGTAACGCCACCCCTGCCACCGACCACGGGGGAAACCCACGACGTGCCCTCAGGTGCCAGTGCGCCAGTGACTCCAGAATGGCCACAGGAACGTACAGCTCGTGTCTGGGGGGGAATGGCAGCAGACCCACAAGTATATCAAGGGCGCTGGAAACCCGCCTGGAAAATCTGGGCTAAGCTCAAGTGGCGCTCGGAAAGACGACAGCGCCGACAGCACGTGGCCCGAGCACATGGGCGAGAACGTGCGAGGTGAGAGCCGTGACTGAGGTAGAAAATTCGTGAAAGCGGGGGAGTGCTTCAGGTCCGTACTTCAGGGGGTGTTTTTTTTTACTTCGGCTGGTTCGGTTAAGCCCCTCCCCCGCTCCCAGTTTTTCGCATGGTTCCTACTCCTTGTCGGGGGAGTTGCATTCGCTCAACCCATAGGTACCTTTTCAATGACAGCTCCGGCTGTCTTACGCTCCGAACTTTTTCTAAACTTCTGAGACCCCCCCGGGGGAACACTCTCCGAGAACTTGTATCATAGCCTTCGGGCCTTTACTCCGTCATCGTTAACCTCGCTCAAATGCATGTGGGGTCAGTTTGCAGAGATAGCTAAATTCGTCCGACAACAAACTTTTGCATATCTCTTGAACTGTCACCTGACACCCATGGTCAAACCATGCTGAGACCTCCGGGGGACTTGCAACACACATGTTATTGCCTTTAGGTCCGCTGTAAGTGCTGTTCTCTTTGCTTTACATGGAAACCGGAGGTCCACGAAAGATGCCATGTTTATTCCTTGAGTGCACTAGCGGGGGAAGCTACTTTCTACTGACTGTACCTTTGCTTTCCTCCGCATAACTTTGGAAACATGAAGGAAGGGGGGGAATCAACTTTCTGTTTCGTCTTTCCGCTACAAGCCACCCCTCCTTCATGTACCGTCTAGCTGCCGCAGTGAGAGCGTACACTTGTCTGGTCCGGTATCGAATACTTCATGGCTTTAGCCTTATGACAAGTTACGCTCGTTCCTCACCCCCCTTACCGTTCCATATGCGAACGGGTGGGCTTTGATGCCCGGGGGCGCTGACCCGCCTCCATGCCCGAGAGAGAGAGACAGAGAGAGAGAGACTGAGAGGGCCCCACAGCCACCCGACATACAAGTCACCCACCAACAGCTAGCAGGCCAAATCGATGGGGGCGCACACTGTCGCGTTTCGCAGCGCAGCCCCGAGCACAACAACTACCAGACCACGCTGCCAAAGGGGCCCAGCAGTGCCACGACGTACGACGTGCCACAACAGAAGCAGCAGCAGTTAAAAAAACCGTCTTCGGTGATGAATGCGGGCAAAACCTGCCCAAGGCCCTAATAAGACAGTTGACACCCCAATGCCTCTCTTCTTTAAAAACAAAGGAGATGGGGGGGGGGTGCTTAGGTACCAGCTTAACCCTCGAGCAAGAAAGAGACAGAAAAGGAGAGAGTTCGAGCACATGGAAGCATGGTTGCACCGAAGCTCAGGAAGGACGGGCGCTGCTCTCCCGAAGCTCTGTACGAAGTTCTTCGGTTTCCTCGGTCAAGTTCAAGAAGGTCAGCAAGTGGGCCAAAGACACGCAAAAGTTTGTGGAGCAGACCGGCAAAGCCCTTCAAGGCACCATTAGCCCGAAGCCCAGTGCGAGGAAGTTGGTTCCGTTGGTCTCGCGTCTCAGACAAATCCGACCTGCAGATATAGAAGCTGCGGGCACTTAGCCGCATTCTCGCATCTCAGCCTCGTGTTAGTCTTTGTGCAATGACAAGGTTTTCGTGTCAGGTTTCTGCCATCCTTTGTTGCCCACCCGCTCACCCCTCCCCCCCCCCCCGATAAAGCCTTACTGAAAGGCCTTCTGGGCTGGGCCGCGAAAAGACTCGTCGAGTGGTTCAAGGATCTAAGCTCCAAGCCACCCCGGCCCCAACACTCAACAAGGCGATGTCGGAGCAGTTGTGGCGAGCACCGCAGATACCGTCGTCGAGAAGGTCAAGGACGCAGCTGAGAGCGACCTGTCCGACTAGAGGGCTCTTGCCACAATTCAGGCCGTTTCGTGGCCCGAAGGTAAGCAGCTGCCAAAAACCCTACTTACAAGGGCAGTCCTAGCTCCGGTCGCCATGGTCGCCAGTTTAGGTTTTAAGGTTCAGGAATGTGGGAAGTTTCGTTTGCAACGTGGGCTGCAGCATGGCCGTTGAAACAACCGATTCTACATGTGCTTGCAGCCTCCTTGTAAGGCTTGTTTCAGTCGAGCACTGCTGAGGTGTCGGCACACGGGGTAGGATTGTTGGCCTGGAAAGCTTTGGTTACCAGCCGTAGGACTGGTGCCCTGAGCGCATCACCCGCACTCCGAATTGAGGTTCCGCCAGCGCTGCTCAAAGCGACTTGGCTCATGTCCTCTGATCCAGCCTCACTCCGCTGTGACTCAGCGGTCCGCAGAAGGGGCCACCGTGTGCGGAAAGCCTGGGGCCGGAACAGGTCTGTCGGTTTAGTCGGGGCAGAGCCGTCTCGGTACAGTTTCCGTCCCTTGAAAGACGTTACGGAGAAACCACCGAGATTCGGCCTTGCAAGCGCGCAGCCACCTGGACGGCGCCGCTGCTTGGGCAGCCGGCGGCGTGAGCTTGGCGGTGAAGTGGGGAATCCAGGCCGGGCCGGGTCAGGATGTTCGGTTGGAGTATGAGAGATGAAGAGAGAGCGAGACCTGCACCATACGCCTGGGAGAAGAAGACCTGCACCATATTAGAGTAAACTATGCTCGGAGAGTCTTTTGAGCTTCTGAACTTCTGTCCCACTCCCCCGATGTTTTTTGGATACGAATGTGGCAGACTCGACATGGCCCTCATCTGTTACAATCTTCTTTATCTCACTCCTCCGAGTACCCGATAACAAAGTCGGGTGCGCTAGACGCCCTGGTCATTTGACACATCCCCCATGCCCGTAGAGAGAGAGAGAGAGAGAGAGAGAGAGTGAGTGAGTGAGTGAGTGAGTGAGTGAGTGAGAGATGCTTCAGGGAGCAGTGCGACAAAGTGCGAGAGCCCCTGTCAGTCCGGAGGGTTTGGAAGACGTAAGGAAATGGGGGGCGGGGGCCGAGTCGGCAGCAAAACTCCTTCTGCATGCAGGGACCTCAGCCTTGGTAGTCATAGACTGCCAGATAGTGAAGCTGTGTGACTGCGAACCTGCAGATCTTAGACTTCCTACCAGTGCCCTTTTATGCGAGTCGCGGAGGGTAAGAGGAGGGTAAGACTTGTTGGTTAGTAGGAGCTTAGTTTTCAGGAGGGTTCGGTTTGTTTGGCGGCTGCAAACAGCGGCGCGGCATTTCCGGCTTGCGAGAGTCTCGGTAGCCCAACTTCAGGCAAGAACAGTGTGCGACTCCATGCATGGGGGTGCCCTGCCAGCCAATAGGTAGATGGGAGGCAGGCGGCGACTCGCGCCATACGGCCGGAGGAAGGAAGAAAGAGAGCGAAAACATAGATAATAGATATAGATGATGTAGATGATGTGGATATGAGTGTGCCTCTTTTTCTTTTGAGAAGGGCAGATGGAGAACCGGATGCGGGATCGCCAACCTCGGATGACACCATCCCGAGCAACCCCAGCGGAAAAAAAGAGCATGACGACTGTGTTCTCCGGGAGGAGCAAGACTGTAATCAAAGCGCGAGGATCCGGTCTGCCCACGTCGCGGCTTCTGACCGACGTTCCGGTCTGTGTTTATACGTCTTTCGAAGCCTCGGTTGGAGTCGATCCGAAGGTTCTTCCTGCCCGTACGTTCTCGAAGCCGTAAACTCGGTCCGTTCCCGAAGCATTCCATTAAAAGCAAAGTTGACCCGCCGGTCCATTCTCCTCGGACCCCACGGGACCCCACGCCCACAGCATCCGCCTTGCTTGGAGGAAGACAGCTTAGACGCGTCAGCCGGAAAGCTGGAACCAAAGGAAAAGCTGTTTTAGAAAAGTGTATCTGACTCATGTCATGAGCGTCGCTCGAGCCACAAAGCTCGAGCAGGGTGGGCAGAGGGCGGCAGATTCGGATGCTTCTGGCCCTTTCCTTGTTGGGGGCTGGTCCGCTCAGCTTGGTGTGCCTGCGACCTGCCAGGAGGGGGCCGATCTGAGGGCTTGGACGGAAGATTTAGCGGAAGATGCCGCGCTTTGGACAGAGGGCAGCCCGCCTCAATGCTTTCTCACAGCGCGCCCTCGGATGATGATGTCTTTGCGCTTCTGCCAAGGAACTGCCGCGGACCTTGCGGATCTGGCCACAGAAGGACGGGCGGGTTGCAACCTAAGTTGAGCGTTTGGTGATGTTCTGATAGGACTTTCTGGCGGCATCGTCCACATGATGCATCCTTTTGTTCTGCCTTTCCTTGGCTTAGCCCAAATCCAAAGTGTGTTCAGGCTTTGTGGTTCTGTCCGGGCCGCTGGTTCAAGCTTTCCTTGAGACGAGTGATGCGTGACTGCCCCCAGGATCTCAACTAGCAATGGAAGCGGCCGAAACCGCAGGGAAGTTCTTCATGGACCAGTTCCAGGCCGGTCACAACTTAGCCAGACTGGCAAGAATGATGTGCACCTGGTGGTGTAGATGATGGCTTGCAGTAGGAGTCTCAAGTACAGCAACTGAGCAGCGAAGACCATGACTCTTGACATCACTTGCCTCTTAAGCATGTTCCCACTTTTCTCACTTCGTGGTCACGTTGCCACCAAAAACACCTGTCAGAATGGCCGGGAATTGGTGTTGGCCGTTTGGCGCGAGATCCAGGACAGCCGTGCAAGGGCCCTTGATTTGGGGCTGTTTCGTGCACCCGGCGAGAATGTTACAGCGAAGACAATCAAGAGTCAAGCGCAGGACATCATACTGCTGCGTGGACGCAGTTCGATGTGTTCTTCGCAAGACAGGATGTTGCGCAGAAATCCTCCATACGGTGACTGTTGGGTTCAACAGGGTCTTGGCAGGTTTGGGGCCACGTGTCGGTAGGACTGAATGGGGGCCCGCTGCCTTTATGTGACTCTCAGGACTCTTACAGCCGAGCTGGCGATGGTTTCATACTTTGTCGTGCACAGCTACTCTACAGCTGCGGCACTAGAGGATCGCATGGCTATCCAATGCCCATGCAGCTCACCGAAGCTTCGGTGCCCTCCCTCCTCTCCCTCCTTCCTTGTTTGCGCAAATCTCTCAAGCAGCGGTGCTCTGCCTGGCGGCCAAAGCCAGAACTTCGGAGCAGACGAGACAAAACGTGACTGCACTACGGATGCTACGGCGATGCACACACGCACGGTCCTTGAAGTGATTTGGTCAAGCTCCGACACCAAGCGATTCACACATTTCCTGGCATGCCCCTCCCTACTGCTAGCATGTCGGATCCTCTGCCGTGCCGACCATGCACGTGACCGTTCAAGGAGCTGCCAAATGAGAGACTTCTCCAGCCGCAAACACGACCAAGCACTGAACTCTTCTCGAACAACATAACTTGATTATCCATTCAAAACACGCACTCTGCCTAGCACAGTTTTCTCCAACCGCCACCACGACCATTCCACCCCGAAGCACGCAGCCCAAGACCGCGCTCTTTGCCTTGGGCTCTAATCTCATACCGTACTGGTCCGAAAGCTGTCAAGTCCCTGCGCCCAAAATCAGAATTGCCCAGTGATTTCCTTAACAAGATGAAGCCTTCAGAACTGCCCGAACTCCGAACCCAAGGCCTTACAACGGCATCGGGCCGAATATTTGCGGCAATCAGTCCCCAGTGCGGCATCAGTCTGCTGTGCTCGATTTCTGGCTGCTTAGGGAGTGCTTGCCTGGCGAGTGTTTCTGAGTTCAGTCTGGACTACGGTCGACGCGACCTGCTGAGCTGGCCGTCACGGCCGTTCTAAGGTTTCCCGCGCTCGTCTTCCAGGGGATCGATTCGGGCTGTTTTGACCAGGCCAAAGACATGCTGAAGGACTCGCAGTCAGTGCGAGCCGGAGACCCGAAAAGCCGTGCCCCGAAGACACGGCGTGCCCGTTCGTCCGAGTTCCGAGTTGGCACTTGTACCAGGACGTCGATGCGTTTGTGCGCGACGATGCGATGCGCCTGGTGGCAGCCATGAGCGACAATTTGGCCAACATGTTCACCGACGAGGCAAGGCACTGCGAAGCACGGCCTGTAGGGCCTGGCTTTTTTTTGCGGCCCACGAACTGCTCCGCTGCACCGTTTCCTGTCACGCCAGGACATGTGGCAAGCAATTCTTGGCGTTATCGGTCTAAACGACATCAAGAGCACCTTGGCCGAGACCCAAGCTCCGCAGCTGCGGAGCGCAAGTCCAACAGAGCCGTCTCGGGGTGTTACGGTCTCGGGGCTCTGCGCTGAGGTATTTCTTCCAGTCTTTTGAACCCGGGCACCCTGCCGGTCTTGAAAGCCATAGAACTCGCGGACAAGATTCAGAAGGCACCTTGGTGACAAGATAGTGCTGCGCTGGGCTGCTGAATGGGGCCAGCGGCTTGAGGGATTGTGCAGCTCTGGAGTGTTGGGTCATTGGGCTGCGTAGCACTTGTCAAGCGCCTTCGCAGCTAGTGGCAGAAGGTAGCCGGTAGCCCATGACACCCCGTTTGATCGTTGCATCAAGGGTGTTACTTCACAATCGGCCATCATAACTGGGTGCATCACGGGTCGTTGAAGGCTCCAGGCCAGGCTTTGCCGGCCAGGGGTCTTCCGGACCTGTCACGCGGAGGCCTTGGCAAGTCTTTGAGCACACTAGTAGGGTTAGTAGGTCCTCCCTCCATAAGGTGCTGTAGTCCAGCACACAACAGCGCCTAGCAACGAAGCGCAGGCTTCTTGTTTTTCTTTTGACTTGGGTGTTAACAGCACACTCCGGCTTGGAGCCATGTTTGGGGATTCAAAGCCGGGGAGATCACTCCACTTGTTCCATGTAGTCAGCTGGCTCATACCAATGGCTTGGGTGTTGGATGGTGCTCATCCTCCCGCATCTTCGCCAGTGGGAGCCATCGATTTCCACAGCACAGCCAACGCCCAGAATGCACATCAGCCCCGTCACGGAATTCAGCTTCCGCATGCTCCCGCGCAAGGGGCTTGGGGCCCTTGGGCTTGTCAATGTAACGACTGTCAGGTGATGGTGACGTACGCGAAGCGCCACTTGGAGGCTATTGCGAAGGACATCGAGGTCTTCTTCGAGGGAGTGCTGAGGCGCCCGGCTCTTGCGTTTTGGTTGTTTTGGTAGGGGGCGTACGGGCGTGCTGCCGGGGCCCGTGCCGCTCTGGGCTCTGGAGGCTGCTCGGCGGTCTGGTGGATAAGTTCGAGAAGCTCATCTCGGACGTTTTCGCAATCCAAGGTTTCAAGGGGAAGACGCCCCTCGCCTCTGGGAGGGAACTATGTGAGCTGTACTACTTAGTTACTACTGTGCTCTGAAGATTTGGGCTCCAGGCCCTAAGCCGGCCCGGAAACCCCATAAAACAGCCCTCGCGGCCCTCGCACTCTGAGGGTCACAGCCTCTGACCGGAAGCACTGCAGGAGGGAAGGAGCAGGAGGTTGGTCGTGATGGCGCTTTTTTGCAGCCAAGACGATGAGACCGAGGTGGACCACGACAAGCACTGCTTTTCTCCGTCGACTTATACACACCACATCAGCAATGCTGCCCGCATGTGTAGATTGAGGAGACAGTAAGTAGAATTTAGCAAGTTGCCGTAGCTGCTTCCCAACCAGTCATGGTTCTGGAGAAGCCACGACAGCACCGAGCGCCATGCAAGACCAGCAAGCACTGCATGGGCTGGCAATTGAGCAGTTAAACTCTGAGTCGCCTGCATCAGCCCCCATGATGCCGAAGGCCGAAACTGCTTCTTTCTTTCTTTGCCGCTCCGGGCTCCGCCCCGGGCTCGGAACCGCCAAGGTGGTACATGTCACTCTGCAGCGAGGGCTTCCTAGACAAGTACTTCGTGGGTGTTTGTCAGATTTATCCCATCACGTTGCTGCCTCAGTGGTGGTCTGCGAGCCTGAGGGCGCAGTGATTGAGTGTGTATCGGCCAAGTCTAGGGCCGTTTCGTGTTTAGGATTTGCGCCATTTGGATCAGGTTCGACGAAGATGCTCTCAATCAAAGGCGGGTCTTCGAACTTAGCTGGGGGCGTGAGATCCCAATGAGCCTTAACGCGAAAACGGGCGAGGCGACCAAGCAGGATCGTCGGAAGCTTGGCCCGATGCGAGTCGTCAAGTAATAATTCATGTCTTCATACATCCGTAGATGTCGCATGGCAAAATCTGTAAACGGACACATCAATCACTTCCGGCCAGTCATAGACGCCGCATGCGACGGATTTTTTGTTGGCTTCGAGCTTGGGATTTATGTAGTTGTGCCTTTCCCCAATGGTGCCTTGACTGACGAAGATTTATGATCCAAGGATCGCCAAAGGTTTCGGTGGCGGCTTTAAGTTACTCTGCTTGGGGAATGAGTGGGCTGCTGATACCCAGGGATACCAATGCCTTCTACGAGCAAGTGGGGACGGTCACAGTTGGTTGTTCCTTCGCGTGAGGAGCCTGTGGCTTCTTCCATGTGTAGGTGCTGCAGGTTTACACTTTGAACGAATGCATGTCGCTACTACGCCACTTTGTGCTAGTGACGAAACTGTTCTGCGGCTGAAGGATTTTGCTTCATTCCGTCAGAGTCCTGCTCAAATTCTGATTCTTTTTTTGTGGTGGGTTTCGGCTGCTCTTCGAAGAGCCCTGAGCCGCCGCGGCCGCCCTCGCAAGAGCATCCTCGAAGCAACACCTTGGGCTGGGCTTAGACCTACTCGTAGAGCGTGCGGGCGGCGGATGCCTGCGGCTCGCAAGTGCTCTCTGGAAGCTCGGGGTCCTCGGAATGCACAAAGAGCCCCCCCCGTTGTTGAGTCCGAAGGTTTGGGCCCATCGTTACCAACGACTGGAAATCACTGATGGGGAAAGCTGAAACCCTGGGATTGGCCGCCACCTTCCCGCGGCTTGGCCAGATACGCAGATCGAGCACCATACATCGTGCATGAATGCTGAGAGCCCGAGCCTGTGAGTTATGTCATGCAAGCCGTCTGCGTGCCTCAATCGCGGCCTTATCAAAGAAAGAGCAAAGAAAGAGAAGTCTTTCTGGCACAGTCTCTCTGGGCCTATTCGGCCTAGTTGAATGTGAGCCTCTCAGTCTCAGGGGCTTCAAGGCGCGAGAGACCTCCATGGAAGTTTCCATTACCGCATCCTCAACGGACGACCCGGATGAACGCGAGTGACTTGGCGGTGGAGCTTTTGGGCGTGGTCTTCACAGAAACTTTGTGCAAGCCATAACTTCGGTGCTGTCTTGGAGTTCCCAAGGCTTCTAAGTCCCTCAGAAGAGCGATCCTGGGAGGTCAGCCTACGAATGCGCAGTTGTAGCCGCTAGCCCCTCAGAGCCTATGAGAGTTCGTGTGGAACCCTGAGCCATAGCAGCTCATCCTCACCAACGATTAACATGAGAACTGGGTGCTGACAGTACCCTAGACTTTAAACCAATCTAAATGAATGACGATACAAAGGACCTTGACAGTCGACTTCTACACTGGAGCAACCACCGACGAAGGGAGCTTCTCACTGGCCGTCTTCTACGCCAAAGCTTCTCGGGCTTTCAGTTTCATGCTTAGGACTGTTGACCACAGGGCCTAAAGTCTAGGGTGCATCAAGTCTACAGGCAACCACACGCGGACAGCCCTGATGAAGCCGGAAAACACCCTCACACCCAGCGGGAAGTCAAACCTAATCGCAAAATCGCACAACCTTCCTGAAGTCAGGCCTCTAGGCGCAATTGAAAGTGCTCAATGCGCTTAAGAAGCGGTTTACGGGGGTAGGGTTGGGAAACCTGCCATGCTTCTCGCTTGATTTGTGCGTATCAGTTTTGGGTTAGGCTTCACTTGCAAGGCCGTGTTTAGACGTTTTTTGTGGGGGGCTTACTGCAACAAGTTTTGAGGTTCATGCTTAGGCTGTAAGGTTTAACGGAGTTGTGGTTGAGGGTGGTTTAGGGCTGGACAGTTTCAGTTTCATACGGGTTGAGGGTTTACATAATTACGGCTCAGCTTGCGTACAGAACCTACCCGGCAAAGCCCAGGCATGGAAAAAGCTGGGAGCTCTTGGTCAAGCGAGCTTTCATGAGCATATTCGACTTTACTGTACTGTTATTATAATAGTACAGTATTTGCGACCGACTCGAGTAAACGTATACCTGTCTGCTTGTTAGGGTTCACGTCAACTTTGTTTCACTCTGCAGATTGACTGCTCAAGAGGCACCTTGAGTGACGTCCAGGAAAAGGCCCGCTTGCGCCAGGGAGTGTAGGTGTGTCCTTTAGCCTGTGCAGTTAACCTAACGGAACCAACTCTGGTCGTTCCTCCCGCATTGCTGCTTGCCTTGCCGCTTTGCTCTTGCCGTGCTTTGGTGCTAGCCGATAAGCGCCCTGCTTTGTGACCCTGTGCTAAATGGATTCCTCCGCTTTTCTCAGGTTATCAGCCGTAGGCCCTCGTGTTTACTGGCTGGTCACCACTGCACTGCTGCTGCCTCCGCCGTGCACACGGATCTCCGATCCAACTAGTGTTCGATCACCACCGATATCCTGGCAACACCCCCAGCCCCGTTCGGACCGGTGTCACGATACGCCACCGAGAAAGGATGATTCCGATCAACTCCCCCCGTGTCCCTTCGACTTGCGGTTCTTCACTAGTGACGCAGGTCGCTCGGAACGAGAAGTCTGATGTTGGTGCTCCTGCAGCCTGCCTCGCCTCGCCAGCCACGCCTGCCTGCCACGCCGCTGCCGCGCCGCCGCACGCCACGCGTGCCTCCGAGGTCGATTAGAGTGCCGCCGCGATGCCTGGCGTTTTGCCGCGATCACAGCAAGCGAGTTCTCATGTGCCGCCTTTGCCATGCCAGCCTGCTGCAACCGATCGCATTCTGCCTGCATTGCCTTGCTTTTCTGCGAGTGCTTCGAATGCTTCCGCTGCTGCTCCGTGCACGTTTTTTTCTACTACCGAAACTCACCAATCCTGCCCTCTCTCCCTTCGTGGGAATGTTGAGGGCGCTCGGGCCCTCTTGGGCCCGGGCAGGATGCATGGGGACGCCCGATTTCGGAACCTTGCAATCCTCCCGTCTTTCGCGGTGACCACGACGGCCCCGCTCCTCCTGCCATGATGCCGATCCTGCGGCCGGGCAGCACCGGTGCACCGATACTCGCACCGCGTGGCTGCGCCGAGGAGTCGGGCCACCGCTGTGCGGAAGGCTCTTCCCATGAGTGTCTCTTCGATCCAAATGGAGAACTTCTGGATCCTGGAGCTGCCAGACGCATCGCCTCCGATTTGGCTGTTGTGTCTCGCAGCGTCCAAGGAACGCAGGCAGACCTCGAGATCTTGAGGGAAGGGATCGCCGATATTTCGATCTCCCTTTGAGCTCTTGAAGCAACTCGTCGAGTCAGAAGTTCGAGACATCGCCGACGGCAATCGATATGATATGCCTATCATGTCGCGCAGACCCGACGAGTTAGCGACCTTGAGACTATCAATGAGCAATGCGATAGGCTCAAAGATGAGGCTCGTGATCGTCTCAGCGAGTATGACGATCGGATCTTCAATCTGAATGAGAGACGAGCCGATTCTAACAGTCTGAAGCTTCAGGAAACGATTCGAGACATTAAACGATATCCTGATGCTCTTCAACAGGTTTATGTTACGCTGCCCAATCTTGAGTGCTTGATCGCTCTCGGCGCGGGACCGGAACATCCGGATAAAATGCGATTAGCCGGTCTCGAGCCGCCTCCAACTACTTACTCTCCGAGGCCTGGTCGAGAACTGAGGCCGACAAGGCGAATCCCAGCGACCGAGCGATCTGCTTCGCCTGGAGCATCCACCATTCGATCCGAATGTATAAATACGGGGTTCGCTGGCGCACGAACAACTTCTAATCCGCCCGATAAGGCCCCGCGGACAGAAGGCAATTGGAAGCCTGCACTGGCTGGGGCATGCCTGCAGCTCGACGATCGAGTTCATGCAGGAGCTCCGGGCCGGCGAGGAGGTTCGGCTTCATCTCCGAGAACGTGCAGATGTCGGCGACCGACGCGAAGCACATCTCCGCGGCGCTGGGGGTACAGCCCGTGCTAGTGGACGCGGCGGCGGACTTCGGGTGGGTAGGAAGGCCACGGCTGTGGTGGTTCTCGGCGGATTTCGCGGAGCACCCCAACGACCCACTGTCCGGCGAGCCACTGCAGTGGACACGGCGGGGGAACTGGCACTGCTGGTTGAGGAGGAACGGTGCGCGGCATCGGACATGGTGCTGGACGGCGCCTCCTTCGACGACGCGGTGGCCTCCGGCCGGCATGCTTCGCCACCCCGGCGACTCATGAGAATGGCCGGGCGGCGCCGGCCGCCGGATGCCGGGGCAAGATCCCGACCGACGCACAGCAGAGATGGTTCGGCGCCAGTTTGCCCCATGGCACTATATCCGGGAAGCTATGCTCGTCTGAAGCGCATGGGCGCTCTCCAACCGATCGCGATCATGCCTTCTTTATGGGTCCCGATATGCAATCGTCTGTGATATCACGGATTGTTACTTCCGCCCCGCGATCATCTGGTACCCTGGAAGACGATGCCGACAACAACATCCGGACATCACGATCCCAGCTGCCCCAGAAAGGCAAAGGGAAAGGCGATAGAGGCAGTAAAGCCGCGGTTCGTTTCGGTTTCGGTGAGGTTCGTGCAGTTCGGTTCGCGCGGTTCGGTTCGCGCCCATGCAGCCCCCCTCCGTCCAGGCCCCTGCCCTCCCTCCATCCAAGCCCGCCCCCTCCGAGCTTCAGTTTCAAAGTGTTTGTGGGGTTTATAGACCCTGTGTACGCGGAAGAGTTGAGGAAAGTGGAGTTGGCTCCCCCGAAGCCAGCAGACTACAGCATTGGTGAAAGAGAAAGGAGTATCAAGCTGTTTGCGATTTTGGCCTCGTACTTGAGAAACAGGCCATTGAAGTCGTTGAAGTCAGAAGGAAGTCAAGATGGATACTCTGTATGGACAAGGTTGTTTGAAGAGTTGGAACCTTCAAGCCGGACAAGAGGACTCGCTATGGCTTAGGCCTTGGTGAGCTTCCCGGCATTTCCCGGCCATGACGAAGGGGATGTTAATTTTGGACTATCTCCTTACGTACGAAAAACGGGTTTCAGAATATGAAAAAATGTCCGACGGAAGAGCTTACGACGAGAACCTGAAAATAGGGACAGTGCTCAAGGGACTTCCGAACGAGCTGCGAAAACACATCCTGATAGGATTGAGCCCAACAACGAGGTACGCTGACATCGGGAAGAAGTTATTGGAGTATGAAAGAAGTACTCAATCTTGGAATGCGGAGAACATTTTGCAGTCGTTTGCAATGGAAGGAACCTCGAAGCAAGCGCCGTATAACGGACCACAACCCATGGAAATTGACAGGGTTGGAAAAGGAACAGGAAAGGACAACAAAGGAAAAGGAAAAGACAAAGGAAGAAGTGACAAGGGAAACAAAGGACAAAGGTTATGGAAGAGGAAAAGGAAACGACCACAAAGGAAAAAGAAAAGGAAGAGGTCAGAAAGGAAGAGGAAAAGGAGGATACAAAGGCGCCCGTGCAGTGGACTCTGGCGGTTACGGGAAAGGGAGATTCACAGGAGAATGCCACATATGCGGAAAGGTTGGACACAAGGCGTCAGAGTGTTGGCAGAACCAAGGAAAATGAAAAGGAGGAAAAGGTAAAGTGAGACAGGTAGAAGAGGAAGGAACCGCGCAAGGAGAGAATGAGAAGAGTTCTTCAAGCAATGCCCCGCCTGCGAAGAATGAGACAGGACAAGTGAGACAGATCACGGCGGTGGCAGCGAGACAAGCACGACGAGTGGAGATGGTGGAAGATGAGGATGAAGAGGTTGACTTTGTCAGGTTGTGCCAAGAGTTTGAGGAGTTGGTGCAAGGAGAGATTAGAAGAACTGAGGGGTTTGATACCGCTTCGGATGATAACGAAGAGGAAAGTGAAGAGGAACCGAGTGATGGTTTGATGGATTGGTACCAAGGATTTTGTTTCTTGGAAGCGGAGATTGAGAAGAGCGTGAGAATGATGCGCCAGGAGAATGAAGTGAAGATAGCGACAAGAGAAGTGGATGCTTGTGAAGTGGTTCTTGACAGTGGAGCTGACTGTCATGTGTTGCCCATGGATTGGGCTGAAGAAGCTGGAGAAGCTTCAGCTTTTGAGTATCAACTGAAAGATGCACAAGGGAAGGTGATTCCAACATATTGCCTGTGAGACAGAATGTGACGAGTGTCTTCACGAAGAAGTCTGGAAAGAAGTTGAAGATCACCGACAGTGCGGTGTGTGGCAATGTCACCCAACCGTTGTTCTCAGTTGGGAAGATGTGGAAGTTAGGTTGGGGAACAGTGAATGAGGATGGACGTCTGTGGTTAAAGAAAGGGAGTGTTCAGATCCCGATCTATTTCAAGAAGAATTCGTTGATGGTGATGATGTCTATCAGAAGACTTGAGGAACCCGAAGAGATGAACATCAAGCCTGTGAGTTTGGAGAATGAGTTGAAGCAAGAGTTGAAGAGGAACGAGGATGAAGAAAGTTGGTTTG